GCCACCTTGCCATGCCGCCCAAGCTGATCTGGGGCAATGTCATGGGCCCGGACAGGCGCCGGCGCGAAGTCAGGCAGCCTGGTCTGGTGGGCGTTCGGTGACTGCGCAAGGCGGTCAGCAGTCTTCGCTCTGTGCTCGCTGCGGGTTCTGACCATCGCGCCTGGAGGCCTCATCTACGCGCAGCGTGGGCTCCCCCAGACATGGTCACAGACAAACCCCGCCCCAGGATTGTTCGGGGGAGCTTCAGGGGGTCCTGACCTCTGTGGGATCCATTGGGTCTCGCGATCTTGAGGGGGAGTGATTTGAGGTTCTGGAGGTGAGGCCGCGATTATTCAGTCTTTTGAGATGTACGAAGGTCGGGCCAGGGCGATTGCTCAGCGCTCATGGGACGCCTGGCTGCTCGACGGCGTCGGCGCTGGAGGGCGGCGCGCTCGCGATTGGGCAAGGGGGCAGCTTCCTTGGAAGCCGTCCACAACCATGTCCTCTCATGGGCAGGCACTGGCAGATCCACGCAGTCTTTGATCTTCGGAGGCCCTGAAGTGGTTGAACCTTTGAGAGCGCGCGCGAGGGGCCCGACGCGTCGCCCGTCGAGTTCGAGGAGACTATTGATTTGATTGCGCCTGGTACCCTCAGAGACATTTCGAAATCTGATCGCCGAATCTTCGCGGTGGGAGCTGATGGGTTCCATTGTGAGCAAATATGTTCCCTCTCGAAGCACCTTCTCCTCGCGCTCCCCATCCTCTGTTACAATTTGGGGCCCGCGTCCTTGCTTCCGAGGTGAATCAGAATTATTGTTCTCTTTCTGTTGAGAAAGCATATGGGTGGACATCGCCCCGTTGGGCTTTTCAGTGGAGTGCGCAGGGTCTGGGGAAGGGCCCGCAGGGCGGCGCGTAGCTCCCGGGAGGCTGCGAATGCCTGATCATACCTTGCAGCTTTTGCTTTCTGCGGGGCCAGCGATGTTGTTGGCGCCGAGCAGCTAGGTCCGAGTTGGGAGTCAGAAGGGGAGACGCGGCCGTCGGCGCGCGTTGGGACTTATACAAGTACAACGAGCGCATCCCCAAGACGTTCTCCTAGTTCGGGTTGACATGCTACTTTTTCACAGGTGCATCATCCGGCTCGCTGTGAAAGCTCATCGCGGTCCTAGAGTTGTTTCTCTATCCAGCCTTGTGGATGGCCCTGAACATGCGCCGATCGGCGCCGTGGCTGGCTGCTCGACAGCTACCACCTGTATCAGAATATGATTGATCCCTGCTCTAGACGCGCTGGCGCCCCCAAAGCTGGCGCACGTGTCTGTATACAGCCGACTGTGGCTCATCCGCAGTAGGTTCCACGAGGTGCGTCTCAGGCCACGTCGAGTAATCTGCGGCGGAGCTCGCATACTTCATCGGGGCAGGTTGCGCAGTGCCATCTCTGAGGGCAAAGCATCACTAATCTCTTCTCCCCCCAAGCTCGGCGCGGAGTCGCGCGAGTACTTCGGGGGCCTCATTGGGGGCTTGGTCTCCACGGCGAGTAAGCTAGGCGCCGACGACGCCGCCGGTCGCCGCCGCAGGCTTCCTAAACGGGCCTCAAAGCATCATCGTCGCCCGGAGGCCTTGAGGACTCGGGCGAAACGCATCGCCAGGGCCAGAGCCGTCATGGGGAGACATGCGAAGAATATGTTTTGTGCTGGTGGTTTAGTTGCGGCCTCTTCTGAAAGCGAAGTCCATGGTGTTCCCGATATTGAGTTGGAGAGTGCGAGGAGAGCGTGTGGCAGAGCGGTCAATCCGAATTCGTAGTCGCGTTCCTTGACGACCCTCGCCATCCTTGAATTGGATCCCTGCTGGTACCTTTTTTTTCCAGTGGTCAGGTATGCTCAAGAGGTTTGGTCTAACTAGCCTCGCGAGTTTGAGCTGGCAGTTCCTTTCAGCCAGTTGCGGGAGGCGCGGGCTACAGCGTTTTCTGCAGGCAGTGCTACGTGGCGCCGTTGCTCGGGGCCGCCGTCGGCGGCCCGTCTGCCTTCGGACCGATCGGGCGGGGCATGTCCGACTTCGCCACCTTGGCCCTGGGGCGCAGGCGCGAACATCAGCCTAGCCGCCGCTCCCCCGAAGCCCATGAAGAGGAACTTGCATCAAGGGGTCTTGAGGCCCTTGGAGAAGGCTTCTGGGGAAAGAAGCTCGGTTTCGAAGGGAGGTCGTGTTTCGACTCGGCCGAAGCTCAGCTCAGGTCTAGCGAGTTGACCCGCCGCAGAAAGGCCCCCTTGATCGTTTTGTCTGCGACGGGCTCTGGGCGAAGACCCGCGCGCAGGAAGCAGGCTGCGCCATGGCGGGTGACGATCTCCTCCGCGCTTTCCTTCAAGGCGCCCCCGACGCGACCCCCCCGCAGGCAGTGTCAATGCCCGGCGGTCGAGGATTTGAGATTGGAGATCGCCGATCCATTGTTTATCCAGTTGGCGCTGGCTGATCAGCCTGACCAGGCTGGCTACCAGCTCTACATCGAGGCGTGTTTCCCGCGTCCAGGTGACAAGCTGCCGCCGCCAGCTAAGGGGTCAGATATTTCAGTTTCTTGGGCTGGTTCGGCTTCCACCAGTACTGAGATCTCAGGGCATGCGTTTTTTAATGGGTCCCAGACCATTCGTGGCGCACTTGAATTCAACAGGGCTGGTTGGGGCATAGCTGCTCAATTTGGGGCCCGATTTGAGTCGATCTTCCTCAAACGTGTCCGGCGGGGGAGTTCGGCGCCTGCGGTGCTTCCACTGAATTTCTTGTGGCCCCATCTGTCGGCTATAGTGATATATGGCAAAATGTCAATATGCGGGCATGTTTCTCGGGCGCCATTCGCTTTTCCTCTCGGGTTGAGAAGGTTCGCGCGCGTTTTCCAGATGGCGCAGGCCTCTCCGAGTATGGTGCTGCAGACCTCGCCGCAAAGCAGGGCGCAGCATCACATCCTCAACCCGCGCCAGATGAGCTGGAGGAGGTTTGCCGCCTCACCTCTGCGGCGCGCAAGGCGCGCAAGCTCGCCTAATCGTTGCTGTCTTGTTGGCCCAATTCAGATTTGTCCATGTGCCGCGGGTCCGTCGATCCGAGCCCGAGGCCAAATATGTGGTCAAGTCAGGTGCCCACCAATGGCTTGGCGTCGTGCTTTTTGGCGCTACCAGACATGCTGCAAGTCAAGAGGCAGCTTGCTTGTCTTCATGTTTCTTGATGTTCTGGTCAGTTGCCGTATCATGCACCTGTGCAGTCGACGCTATGACTATATACACTCGCGGCGGCTAGTTCAAGAAGCTCCGGCTCGATTGCGCACCTGAGGCCAAAGGCTCGCTGAGCCAGTATGCGGCGTCTGTCAGACGGGCACTCAGTCGGGGGATGCGCCCCGAGTTTGCACGTGTCGCGCGTGAAAATGTCGACCCAGAGGATTTCGAGCAGGACGAGCCCGGCCAGCAGAGTAAATCGATGTTTGAGCCGTCGTTCGTGACCAGGGAGGGGGCCATACTTCGTCGGCTGCGCCAGGTTCTGCTCCTGCCCCCAGTTCCTACCCCTTGGCTCTTGGGCGGCCTGGGGAGGACAGGCCGGGGCCAGTGCTTCGGGGGGCGGCGCCGGCCTTGCGCCACAGGGCGTCAGCTTGTGTTTCTGGCGCGATCTCGACGGCCAGCCCTCCCATTCTTCGTCATCAGGTCTCTCCAACGACTCCTGATTGATCGCCGTTTCTGCCAGGCAGCCTAGGTGCCGCGGCCCCGGGCCGCGGGGGCAGGGCGGGGCAGCCGGGCCGGGATCGGGCTCCCGCCGAGGGCCTTTGGCCCCTAGCCTCGTGGGGCGAGACGCGGCTCAGGTCACGTTTGACGTCGGCACAAGGCAACCCTTGCCCCTCCGCTGCTAAGTTTGGCCCGCGCCAGGGGCGAGGCCTGGCGCCGTCCTGGCGTTCCCTGCACCGGGGGCGGTTTGGCCTCGTCGTCCTGGCGTCGCCATGTCTGTTTCGATTGCGTGCGTGCACGTGCGCGCGCAGCGCGTTTGTCTGCGCGCGTGTCAGGGAAGTTGTGCGCTCCAGGGGGGGGGGTCGGCTTGCAGCTGCTGGTTGTGTTTATGGCCTAGTTGCCCCACTCTTCAAGTTTCAGTCTCCGCTTTCAAGATGCTCGGGTCGGGATCGGGCTCCCGCCGAGGGCCATTGGCCTTTCGTCTTGTGGGGCGAGATGGGGCCTCAGGTCACGTTTGAAGTCGGCTCATGGCGGCCCTTGCGCCCTCTGTTGCTAGTTTGGCCCGCGCCAGGGGCGAGGCCTGGCGCCGTCCTGGCGTTCCTTGCACCAGGGGTGGCTTTGCCTCGTCGTCTAGGCGTCGCTATGTGATTGTTCGCGCGTGTACGTGTGCGCGCGCGCTGTGTTGTTGTCTGCACGTGCGTCAAGCACCCCGCCTCAGGGGAAGGCGTGCAATCCCGCAGGGCCCGTATCGCCGTGTTCAGCGTCGGCAGTGCTACCATCTCTGTCGGCTTGTTTCTGCTCGGGCCGCCCCCTGGGTCGTTCAGGGGGAGTCTGCCTGTAGCTGTATGCGTTTCCGCCCGACCAGTATGTCTGGGACGGGGCCTCTGGGTGCGTGCTGAAGCTGCGTAGAGCAACCCGCCATTCGGCCTCCTTCTACCAACGCGTTGGAGGTAGGATTGTGCGGGCAGCTCGAAGCGTCAAGAGTGTGTCTCCGCCTGCTGCTCGCGTACTGTCCGCGGGGCTTTGTGGCTCCTGCTGGCCCTCTCGGTCCTTGGGGTGTCCGTCCGTCTGTGTCGGCCACCGTCTTGGTCCTTTCTTGGCGCCAGACAAGCTGGCCTTTTCCCTGATGTCGCTCTCCAGGACGCGGTGCTGATTTAAAACGTCCTCCATCTCCCCCCATATGTTTTCTGTCGTCCTTTTCCCTCCTTCATCCGTCCTCCTCCCTGCCCGATCCTCCTCCCATTCCCTTTTCGTCACCGTTCCCTCCCTCGCTTCCTCCTTCCCCCCCCCCCTGCAGGGGCGCCCCCCCCCCCCCCCCTCGCCCCCCGCGGAGGCGCCGGAGAAGGAGCTCGGGGCGCGCCTGGAGAAGGTGCAGGAGGACGCCACGCCACGGCAGGGCGGAGCGTCGGCCGGGGGACGCCGCGCCTGCCCGTCGGGCGGCCGCTGCTGGTTCTGGACAGCATCTGAAGCACAGTGAGCGAGCGGTTTGAATCAGGAGCACTTGTTTTTCACAAGGGGCTCGGTCGTTCCTTAGGTTTACATGCGTTCCGCTACCTTTTTGGCGGCGAGCCCCCTGCCGTTCGTTCGGACGTCGTGGACTTGCTTGGAACACAAAGGGGCGTCGTTCCTTATTTGTCGTTCCTTAGGTCAGGCCGATGACTGCATTCCAGAGGGCCTCGACTTCGAGGATCAAAGGAACTGATCGTCGGCGGAAGACTGGCGGAAAGCGGCGGAAGCAAGACGAGGCCGCCGTGGCGTTGTACGAGGATCCAGTTGGGACTTCGCGGCTCCCTGGGGGGCTGCGAAGTGCGCAATTGTCGCCATTTTCGTGGGTTCCTGGGAGTCCCGCGCCGTGGAGTTGTATGGGGTTCCAGTTGGGACCTCATGGCTTCCTGGGGGGCTGCGAAGTGCGCCATTGTCGCCGCTTTCGTGGGCTCCTGGGAGGTCCCGCAGAGAGGAGTTGTACGGGGATCCAGTTGGAACCTCGCGGCCCCTTGGGGGGCTGCGAAAATGTGAGTCTGTCGCCATTTTTGTGGCCCCCTGGGAGGTTCCGCGGCGTGGAGTTGCACGGGGATCCCGTCGGGACCTCGCGGCCCCCTGGGCTGTGAAGTGCGCACTGTCGCCATTTTCGTGGGCTCCTGGGAGGTCCCGCGGAGTGGGGAACACGGGGATCCAGTTGAGATCTCGCGGCCCCCCGAGGGGCTACGATGTGCGCAACTGTCGCCCTTCTCGTGGGCTCCAGGCAGGTCCCGCGGAGTGGGAGATCCAGTTGGGGCCTTGCTGCGCATGGGGGAGGCTGCGAAGTGCGCCATTGTCGCCACTCTCGTGGGCTCCTGGGGGGTCCCGCGTCGTGGAGTTGTACGGGGATCCAGGTGGGACCTCGCGGCTCCCTGGGGGGCTGCGAGATGCGCACTGTCGCCACTCTCGTGGGCTCCTGGGAGGTCCCGCGTCGTGGAGTTGTACGGGGATCCAGTTGGGGCCTCGCGGCTCCCTGGGGGGCTGCGAAGTGTTGAACTGTCGCCACCTCCGTTGGCTCCTGGGAGGTCTCGCGGATTGGAGTTGTACGGGGATCCAGATGGGACTTCGCGGCTTGGCTTGAGCCAGTTGACATCAAGTTATTTCTTGCTCTGGCAGTTCGGCACGTTCCGTTTCGCGTTGAGCCACCGACTGCGCTGTCCGGCCATGCCTACGGCTGTGGATGGTGTGATGATCGACGCAACGTCTGTGGGCGATATGATCATCGGCGCAGCGAGTTCTTCAACCGAGCCCCCCGCTGTGGATGGCGTGGTGCTGGACGCAGACACGCCTGACGTGTCCCACCGAATGAGGCGGTAACCATGCTCTCATGGTTGCGGCTGGACGCCTTACAAGGCACATGAGACGTGCTGCAAATAGTGTCGCGGAATGTTCGGACCTCACAGCAGGGATTGTGCCTTGAAGAACAAGATATCCATCCGACAGAAGAAGCAGATGATGCGAGGGAATGACGAGGCTGCAGTTGAAGAGTACGAATCCAAACAGGAAAAGGTGTTCGAAGAGGTGGAAACAGACGAATTGAATGGCTGGAGCATGATGGAGTTGCTGAAAGTATTGGTTGACGCCGATTGGCTCATCGGCATCGAGACTCTCGAAGGATATTTATATACATATATATGTGTGTCGGAAAGAGCGTGTTCTACCGCTGCTGGCGGAAAACCGGGGGGGGTCACTACCGGTTCGAACCCCTCCCCCCCCCTCTGGAAAACCGGGGGGGGGTCACTACCGTTTCGAACCCCCCCCAGCTCATCATGAAAAGGGGGGGGGGTCACTACCGGTTCGAACCCCCCCCCCCCTCGAAAACCGGGGGAGGTCACTACTGGTTGGACCCCCCCCCCTCCTTTGAAAACCGAGGGGGTGTGCGGACAATGGTGGGGACGGTGGTGGTGGGGACAGTGGTGAGGGGACAGCGGGACAGTGGTGGGGACAGTGGGACAGTGGTGGGGACTGTAGTGGTGGGGACAGTGGTGAGGACAATGGTGGGAACAGTGGGGACAGTGGACAGTGGTGGGGACGGTGGTGGTGGGGACAGTGGTGTGGGGACAGGGGGAGGTGGAAACAGTGGGACAGTGGAGGGTACAGTGGTGGTGGGGACAGTGGTGAAGGCGGTGGCGAGGACGGCGGTGGGACAATGGGACAGAGGTACAGTGGGGACAGTGGTGGGGACAGTGGGGACAGTGGTGGGAACAGTGGGACAGCTCAGTGGGACAGCGGAGGAGTCAGTGGGACAGTGGGGACAGTGGGGATAGTCGGGCAGTGGTTGGGGCCGTGGAGAAAGTGGGGAGAGTGGAACCGTGGTGGGAACAGTGGTGGCGACAGTGGGGACAGTGCGACAGTAGTGGGAGCACTGGTGGGGACAGTAGGGACGGGGGTGGAACCAGTGGGGACAGTGGTGGTGAGGACAGTGGTGCTGGGAACAACAGTGGGGGATGTGGTGCGGACGGTGGTAGGGACCGGGAGTCGTTTGCTGGCGGTGAGTGGGGGGGGGTGGGGAGGGGTTCGAACCAGTAGTGACCCCCCCTCCGGTTTTCGAGAGGGGGGGGGGGTTAGGGGAGGGGGGGGGGGGCTTGCGGGGGGAGGGAGGGGGGGAGGGGGAGCCAGCAGGGGGGGGGATTTTCGGAGGGGGGTGGGACCCCCGGGTTCCGGAGGAAGAGGGTGGCAATTTTCCACAGTAGAGTGGCGGTGGATCACTCTCTTTCTCTCTCTCTCTCTCTCTCTCTCTCATATATATATATATATATATATATATATCGCGCATTTGCGTTTGGTTCGCTCCCTGAGCCCATTTTCGGATGTCCTCGACCGCTGAACAAGGACACGATCTGGTCTGGTGTTGCTGCCAACGGTAAAGTTCTTGGTGCTGCAACGATTTGGCTCGTGCAAATCATGGGCCCCATGTTAATCATAAGGCATTACGCACAGAAGCGGAAAGATGGTGATTAGTATGTGCCGCTCATGTGGGACGATCCTGGTACCAAGCTATTGGTTCTGGCCATTGTGATTCTGTTCAATGGGAGCGCCTATTTCGAGGTGAAGCGAGAGGCCATCGCGTATGCGAAAATTGACGAGATGTACACACATTTCGGTCGCAAGCGACTCGGGCCACATAGCGGACAGATTTTGCTTCTGGGGGAATGCACGAATCGTTGCGTATTTGCCACCAGTTGCATTTGCACCTGTATATTGATGAGCTTCGCTGACAACCCCCAAGATGTTTTATTCGATGCCCTGGGAATCGTATTCCTCTACAGTCTGGACAATATCAGCAACGGTCTCTCATTCGTTAGCGAAGATGATTGGCCCGGGCATCGTTTGGCTTGGTTGCACGAGCAGCTTCACAACGATGCGCAGGATGGACGCGGAAGAGCGAAATATCTCCATTGGGGGACCGAGTGTGTGGTTCTGGCGCTCTCATGGGTCCTTCCGGTAGCATTTACACACTCTGCGCTGTGGCCGCCCCTCGCCAGATTATGAGAAGCAGCGCAGCGGCAATCGGCTGCTACGATTGCAAGCGTTGATGTGAGAGGCGGTGCTCGGGTGGGCACGCGGGAGAGCCGAAGGGCCCGCGGGGTGCGCGCCCGCTCCTCTCGGAGCGGACCTCTCGCTGCGAGCAGGAGTGCGATGTCGAGAAGCTCCGCGGCAAGGTTTTGCCTCTTGTCGAGACCTGCGTCGGGAGCCAGGGGCACATGCTGTTAATTAATTGGGCTGGAGAGTTTGCAGGGCATCTGCCCTTCGTCGTTGGACACGGTTTCATTTGCATCCTGTGGCATCGTTTCACCACTGGCGGCGCCCCAGCGACCACATGCGGTGCCCCCGCGGCACCTCGACTGCAGGACGCTTGTGCTCTTGTTCGCACTTGTTCGACTCCCCGTCCCCGTGGAGCGCAGGGCGGGATATGATGGGCCCGTTTTCCACTACCACCACCATAAGCTGAAGGGGGAGGGCTCCTCCTCCTCCTCCTCCTCCTCTTCCTCCTCCTCCTCCTCCTCCTCTTCGTCCTCCTCCTCCTCCTCCTCCTCCTTCCCCTCTTCAAGTTATGGTGGTGGTGGTGGAGGAAAACATGCCCACCAGGATAGCAGTGGGAAGCCGGTCACGCATGGCGCGGCAAAAGCCTGGGCGAGGGGCTGGGCGGTGCGCCGAAGTGGGTGGGGCGGCGCAGGAGGCTTCTCTGGAAGGATCGGGGCGCTTCTAGCAAGGCTTCCCAAATCATCGGGACCAAACAGAAGCTGGGACCTTGCTGCTCCCTGGGGGGCTGCGAAGTGCGCAATTGTCGCCACTCTCGTGGGCTCCTGGGAGGTCCCGCGGCGTGGAGTTGTACGGGGATCCAGTTGGGACCTCGCGGCTCCCTTGGGGGTTGCGAAGTGCGCAGCTGTCGCCACTTTCGTGGGCTCCTGGGAGGTCCCGCGGAGTGGGGGGACACGGGGTCCAGTTGGGACCTCGCTGCTCCCGGGGGGGCTGCGACGTGTGAATATGTGGCCCCTATCGTGGGCTCCTGGAGGGTCCCGTGGCATGGAGTTGTACGGGGTTCCAGTTGGGACCTTGTGGCCCCCTGGGGGGCTGCGAAATTCGCAAGCGTCACCGTCGCGGAATTTCGGCGGAAATGAAAATCGGCCTCTTGCCGTGTTCGTCCTGCTGTTTCGTGAGCCTCTTGCCGCCCGACCAGCAGAAACAAAAACTTTCGCAGGCCCCAGGGGAACTCTAATGCGGCCGCCTCTGCCTCCAATCTTCCTGGGAGAGGTTGAGGCGAGGCATGCAGTAACTTACGAGCTTGGCCAGGCACCGCTATGAGCGATCCGCTCCAGCTTACGTCCAGAGGGACACTCCGTTGTTGAACATCAGTGCGTCGTCGGGGAAGGACACACCCCTCCATGAAAACTACTGCACCAGCCTGCCTCCACTCCTCCTGCTCTGGGGCTCGAGAGACGGGGGTCGATGCAGACGGGAGTCAGCCAGAGCGCCGGATCTTGCAGGATCTCGGAGAGCCAAGGTGCATTGACCCGGGATCGGGTGCAGGATCCTGCAGGACCATGCGGGATCCTGCAGAGCCCGACTGACCCGGGTCAGGATGGACCCGGGCCAGTCGATCCTCGATTGCTCCTCCTGGCGAGCCCGCCGGGCTGCTGGGCTGCTGGGCTCAGTCGACGAGGCGGCGCGGCGTTCGACCTCCGCCGACGAGGTCCGCCCCGCCGCGGCCGCCAAGGTCGGCCTCCTCGGAGCCGCCTCTGGTTTGCCCACCCCGCCAGGGAGCGCGCGGTTTCGTCATCTGCGACGGCGACGGCGGCGACGACGACGGCGGCGGTGCCAACGACGACGGCGGCGGCGGCGGCGGCGACGACGATCGGGTGCCTCTCGCCGATCCAGCGGCGATGCACCGCCGATGGCAGGTCGGCGCTTCCCCGCCGGAGGAGGTCGCCCCTCTCGTTGCCTCTCCCCCCCTGCTCCTCGTGCTTCCCGAGCCTCGTCCTCGCCTCCAGGCCTCCGAGCAGCATGCCGGTCCTCTTGTCCTGAGCGCGTTCGTGCGCAACGAGTTGTTGCTGCCAGGGAGCGCCAGTGCTGTGCCGTGCATTTTACTCCTTCTACTGCTACTTCTCTTCCTCCTCCTCCTCCTCCTCCTGCTCCTGTTCCTGCTCCTGCTCCTGCTCCTCCTCCTTCTCCTGCTCCTCCACCTCCTCCTCCTCCGAGGCCCCCCCCTCGTCCTCCTCCTTTTCTTCTTCCTCCTCCTCCTCCTCCTCCTCCCCCTCTTCCAGGGCCCCTCTTCCCCCGCCGTCAGGCCAGGGTGTTTTTCATGTCCCTGCCACCCCGGCCAAGCAGTGCAGCCTGGGCGCCTTGTGGCACCTCCTGCATGAGGTGCACCGCCGATGATGATGCGGAGGCGGGCGCCCGCGGCCCACAGCTTTCAACCACCTTGGTAGGAATGTTACTAGTCGCGGGCACACCGCTTGCCGTGTTATGATGAGGTTCTGGCTCTGGACACCGCTCCGTGTTGGCGTGCAGGGTCGGCCCAGCACTGGACCAACCCCGCCCCTGGTGGGGCCTCCTCCCGCCCCTCCTGTTGGCTGGGGGGAAGGGGCCAGGGGGCAACCTCACCCTGCGGGGTTTGCGGTCGCTGGTCCAACGCTCGAGTCCTGCCCGCTGCTTCCCATTGTCGGTTTCCCCCCTATGGCACGGCGTTTCCGGCGCTATTGGGGCTAGCCAATAATAGGAGGCCGGAGGACGGATTCAGCTTGGGCCTACTTCCTCTTTGCACACGTGTGCCCTGTTCGGGTATAGCCAGGACCCTGGTTAAGGGGAGCCGGTTAGTGATTTGGCCCCGATGCTTAAAATATTGATTGGAATTTCTAAACCAGGTCTGCCGTAGCTGTTGTTTTTCGGGCGACGGCAGTTCTGGTGAGTGGAATGGGGCGGGGGGGGCGCCCCCCAGTGCACATCACCAAACCAGGTCCCACTACACCCAGTTTTGCCAACGCCCGACCTGTTTGCAAATGGAGACGGTGATGGCCCTGTTGTGTGCCAGGGCGCGTTTCGCCCGCGCCTTGCTGGGCGTTCGGTCAAGCCCCTTTGGGGGCCCGCGGGCGCGTGCGGCCTGCCCCCAGCGGCTCGCGCATCCCGTATCTCACCGCCATCGTTTGCGGACCTGGGTCCTGGGGCCCAGGCCGGTGCGTGCTCCTTGCTTCCCCTTTCTCCCCTCCTCCCTTCCTGCCAGAAGCTTCCGAGGTGACGACGTCGCCGCCGTGCTCTTCGTCGTCGCCGTACTCGTCAGAATCGTACTCGTCAGAGTCGTACTCGTACTCATCGTCGTCGTACTCGTCGTCGTCGTCGTACTTGTCGTCGGACTCGTGCTCGTATTCGTCGGCTTACTCGTCGTCGTACCTGTCGTCGTACTCGCACTCGTACTCTTCTTCGTACTCGTGCTCGGCGCCGAGAGCCGCGCGCGAACGCTGACGCGGGGGCCCTCGGCGCCGAGCCTGCCTCGCGCCTTTGGGCGGCCGAGAGCCCCCAGAAGCCGTCGGATGGCCGCCCGCCTGGTCGGATCCTGCCGGCGCTGCGGACCGCGGTGGCAGCGCGCCGCTCCACAGGCCTCCCGGGTGTGGCCGCAGGGCCGCCCCGCCTCGCTGGTGCATCGGCGGTGCGGCTTCGGTGTGGAGTTCGAGCGCCTCCACGCCGATGGCGCTGAAGTGTCGCCGACGCAGCGCCGATGCGGCGCGATCCTCGGGCCCCATAGCTCGGACCCCAGCCAGGCGGCCTTGACTCGCCGGCCTTCGTCAGAGCCCTCGGCGCCACCGTGGGCCCCACCGTCATCGCCCCTCCCCGCCCCCTGGGCGGCATGCCCGCCTTTGCCCGCAGGAGCTGAAGCAGCGCACCGCGGAGGCGGGTGCCGCGGAGGGCCTGAAGAAGGACAAAGAGGACCCGCCACCAGAGAGGAGTCGTTGGAATCGGCGGCGCGCTGAGGCGGGGAAGTCAGGGGGGCAGGCCTTCTCAGAAGGTGGCGCGGTTTTTCGGAAGCCTTCCGGCTTTGTGAGAAGCTCCTCGTGCTATCGGAGATGGCGTATAAGGCGCCTTGGAAGGGCAGTAGGGCTTCTGAGCCTTCTGAGAAGGCCCGCCCCCTCTGCCTTCTCCCATGGGCGCTCCGCCGCTTGAAAAGAAGGAGAAGGAGGAAGTGTTGGAAGACGAGGAGGAAGAGGAGGAGGAGGAGGAGGAGGAAAATGAGGAGAAGGAGTTTGCAGAGAAAGGGGAGGAGGAACGGGCGGCGACGATGAGGGAAAAAGCGGAGGAGCAGTTGTAGCAAGCGCGGGAGCAGGGTGTCAGCGACAGCAGCCAACGTCCGAGGTCGAGGTAGATCACATGGGAGTTTCCAATGTGCAAATAGTATGAAGGGCGCTGGGGTTTCAATACCGAGGAATAGTGCACGGGCGCAAACTGACGATCCTCGGCATGGCTGGTATTCCCAAAAAGAGTTGAGTCTCGATGTCAAAAGTTTTGAATCGAGATTTCAATCATTCAACTTCCACAGTACAGTGTTTGAAACCTCTATTTGAAACTTCTCAGCCACCTTATAAGTTTTTACCATTATTTTCTGCCTTTCCGTGGCATGTTGGGTTCGGTTTCCATTTCCGTGGCCTGTTGGGTTCGGTGTTCCTTTCCGTGGCTTGTTGGGTTCGGTTTCCGTTTCCGTGGCCTGTTGGGTGCGGTGTCCGTTTCCGTGGCTTATTGGGGTATGGTTCTGTTCCCGTGGCCTGTTGGGTTCGGTTTCCGTTTCCGTGGCCTGCTGGGTTTGAGTTCCGTTTCCGTCGTTTGTTGGGTTCGGTGTCCGTTTCCGTGGTTTGTTGGGTTCGGTTTCCGCATTTTTGTTTTAATGGCGGTGGTTATGATGATGACGATGACGATGACGATGATGAAGATTATGTTGACGATGGCGATGATTCTGATGATGATGATGGTGATGGCGATCTTCATGTTGAGGAGGGCACGAAATTGGAGGAGGCGGGGGAAGGCGAAGAAGGCAATCGCATGTGACGCCTCTTCCTCCCCAGCTCTTGAAAAGCTCTCGTGCGTCTCCAGGTCCTCGGGGATGCTCCATGGGGTCTCTGCAGAGCGCTCTCGGGGCATGCTGGGCGGGGGGGGGGGCACTTCGTGGGGCCTCTTGGGAGCCTTTTGGAGGCCTCTTGGGACAGTCCTCAATCATATATTTCATGGTATCGTATATAAATACATGCCACCGCCATGCGTATCGTGGTTGTATGATGCCATGCCATGCAGCTGTCCACGCCACCACATCAGACGTGATACAAAACATAACTTCTCCGGATATAGTAGATCTGCCATTGCCGTATACCTAAATATACCATGCATATACATCATATGGCACCATGCACACATACCACATCGTCGCACACATTATTCTATCATACAAATACACACCACCGCATCGTAGACTTTATGATGTCATACAGATGTCCAACATCTTCATTTATGATTTAAGGTGCTATGCGTGTATACCACAACCTTGTAGACCGTAGTTTGCCACGCAGTGACATACCACATCGCCATGTGTCTGCTGTAACCATACAAACATCAATCACACAACTGGGTATCGATTTGATAACATACAAAGATCCCGCATCATACATCATAGTATGGCGTCGTATACATATATACACCCCATACACCTCCATGCAATATGATACCATGAACATATACGACGCCATCATTGATCTTAGGCTGCCACACGCACATGCTTCACAACATCACAGATCGTATTACTCCGTATCACATCTTGCTACGTCGTACGAAGTCACATATAGCTCCCTCGTGGTTTTCATTGTACCAAATGTATACATGACAGCAAGTTGGACCTTACGATTGTATGCGTACTTCTATACTATCACCATCTGTCCTTTCATAGACTTTCCTGCCTCCTAGACCTGATGCCCCATGCATATACAGTTGCATCGCATATTCCCTGATCTGATGATACTTTACATACTTAGACATCATTTCATCTTAGGTGTATCGGTAGCTTACAGATACACCATATCATCATAGATCCCATGAGGCCTTACATATACGTCACGCAAGCATAGGTCGCCCGATGCCCTACAAGCACATCGCAGCACCATGTATCTCATGATGCCCTACACGCGTCAATTCAGCAAAGATAGCATGACACCCTTCACACATCACATCAGCATGGGTCTTACGGTGCCCCACGTACATGTCACAACATCAAAGGTCCCATCACACCCAAAAGACCCATCATTTCACACATCTCGTGACCCCCTACGTACACATCACGTTAGTCTACATCGTACAAACTCTACATAACATTAATTTTGTGGCGCCCTACACACATACATGTCAGCATCATCGGTTCCCCACAAACATACCACAGCGACATAGGTCGTAGTATGCCCATCGTATACACGTATCACATCTCACCAGTGAATCTTGCATCCCGTCTTAAACCTTAGGGGGCCACACCACACACCACACCACGCACCACACCACACCACCCCACCCCACACACCACACCACACCACACCACACCACACCACACCACACCACACCACACCACCCCCTCTCTCTCTCTCTCTTTCTCCGCGCTCTTTTTTTCATCGGCTACTGACGGACGAACTCCCGGGCCACTGAACCCCGGTCAGCCCCACAACTACGACGACGACGACGACGACGACTACTACTACAACTGCTATTACTACTACTACTACTACTACTACTACTACTACTATTACTGCTGCTACTACTACTACTACTACTACTACTACTACCTGCTACTACTACTACTACTACTACTACTACTACTACTACTACTACTACTACTACTACTACTACGACTACGACTACGACTACACTACTACTACTACTACTACTACTACTACTACTACTACTACTACTACTAGTACTAGTACTAGTACTACTACTACTATTACTACTACTACTACTACTACTAGTGAGACTACTACTACTACTACTACTACTACTACTATTACTACTACTACTACTACTACTACTACTACTACTTCTACTACTACTACCACTGCTACTACAATTGCGACTACTACCACCACGAGCACCACTTCCACTATTACCACCACTACCACTCCAGGCGCTGGATGTTTGAAATCTCTCTTAACAACTGTTTACCCAGGCTGTATTCTGGACGAGTATACTGTCTTAGATTTAGGTTTCCAGTTTTCTGTTCGTCGGCCAGATACCAAAGTTTCAAATCACATGTCAAAGTTTACAAATTGTGGGTCCAACCGCTACCTGGTTCTGCACAACCACATATGGCATTCATGGTGAAATGATCTTCCTACCACGCATTCTGATTCATTCAAGCTGATACGGCAAGGCTTCGCATGTAATAGGTACATGATGGGTATACTGCCATATCCGTCCGACCCACCCCTCGTCCAAGCCGCGCGCTGTGTTTGAATTTGCGCTGCACTCCCACGGAGCCCACGAGCTTGCGGGGATCACATGTTCGTGCACTTTGCCCGAAACGTGCTTGCTTCGCCCCACTTCCACGGCGGTGAGGTCCCTCTCTGGACTCGAGGTCGTCGTGTGTCTTCCCTCGTCCCCCGCCTCCGCGTCATGCGCGGGAGCCCGAGTCTCTTCATCCTCGCCCCTGCATCCCAAGTCTGTCACGGCTGGCTGTCGCGCGCCATGGTTGCTCAAGGTATACAGCTCACGTGCAGCGTTGCAGGCATGTGTTTTCGTGTGCACCATGGCGCACCAGGCTTGCGAGGGTGCGCCTCCGCAATCAAGTTTACGGGTTCCCGTCTTGCTGTTCTTGATATGTCTCCGAGTTGATCTTCCCAACAGTTCGGTCCCCCCCACCTCGTCGTCCCGCTCTGCCTCCTACTTCTCGTCGCCGTCCGCCTCTTGCTCCTCCTCCTCCCTTCTCCTCTGGCGTCTCCTCCTCTTCTTCCTCTTCCGTCTCCTCTGTTTCCTCCTTGTGTTCTTTTTCCACATCTTTCCCCAATTAGCATATTCTCCCCGCGTCCTCTTCTCCTCGGTCTGCCACCGCGTCGGCCACCATTCGGACCCACAGTGCGCAAGACACATCCCACACAGTCCATCTAGAGCACCTGGGAACTGCTGAGACCCCTCTCAGAAGCCCGTAGAGTACTCAAGATGTTCTCCCCCTCCCCATCCTCCCAATCCCTCTTCCCACTCTCATTCCTATCCCTCTCCCCATCCGTTCCAACGGCTTCGCACGAGGACAATCTGACGTAATGCCCCCAGAGCTCGCTTCGATGCCGTCTCCTCCCCTCCTCCCTCACCTCCAGTGCGCCCCGACTGACACGGCAGGGGTTGGTTTACGTCCAGAGATTTGTTACTTTTGCTGCCTTATCGTTGGGATTTGCAGTCTGGTGGTTTGTCATCCTCTCAATCGTCCGCCCCCCTCCCCCGCGGCGGACGTGCTCGACCGGCGACACCAGCCGCCTTCCCGGGACGAGTGGATGATCCCGTTCGACCCCGGCGCCCTCAAGTCGACCTCGTGATCTTTCCTCGTCCTGCGCGGGGCCTCCGCCCTGCACCGCCGCCTCGGCCCCGTCGGGGGCAGGCGCATCCACATGCTTCCACTGCTCGGATGCCAGGCCCTGGCTGTCCCGATCCCTCCCCTCCCCTCGTTGACCGCCCCCCGCCCCCATTCGGCGGCGAGCCCAGGGGGGAGTGTAGAAGGGGGCGGGCCTTCTCAGAGGGCTCGGAAGGCCTGGGGCCTTCCGAGAACTTCCCTGAGCATTCCCCGCAGACACAGGACATTCTGCAGAAGGCGCGAGGGCCTCTGAGAAGCCCCGCCGCGGTCTGAGAAGGCCTGCCCCCTCTCACGTCCTCCCTGGGCTCGCCGCCGACATGGAGGAGAAGGAGGATGGAGGAGGAGAATGGAGGATGGTGCACGAGGCGGGAGGAGGGAGAAGGAGGGAGGATGGAGGATGAGGAGGGGGATGGAGGCGGAGGAGGAGGAGGAGGAGGTGGAGGAAGACGAGGAGGACGCCCCCCTGCCCGCCGCTGCAAGCGCCGCCTCGCCGCGCGCCGCGGCTGGCCGGCCCCCAGGATCTCCAGAGGAGGCTCGCCGATGCCACCAGGCACGTGCAGGGGCTGACCAGGGAGCGGCAGCAGCTGGAGGAACCCCTCCCCGCTCCTCGTTCTTCCTCCTTGTTTCTCCTCGTCAACGTCCTCCTCCTCCTAGTTCCTCTTCTTCCTCCTTCTCCTCCTCCTCCTCCTCCTCGTTCCCCTTCTCTCACCTCCTCTTCCTTCACATCCGTCCCTTCCTCCCCCTCCTCCCACTCCTCGTTCCTCCTACTCGGTCCCTCCTACTCCGTCCTCCTCCTCCCCCTTTTCTTCTTCCCCCCCGAGGAGCCTAGAGTTTTAGGTCTTGCCCGCACCAGGAAACGAAATCATAGCATAGACGATGTGTTGTTTAAATCGGATTGTCATTGTCATGTCGTTGGTGTCCGAGATGGGCGCCATCGCATCTGCGTTTTGAGTTTTGCAGTCCTCATCATCAGTCCTTCTCCCCCCCACCTCCTCCTCCTCCTCTTCCTCGTGCTGCTCCTCCTCCTCCGTTTCTTCCTCCTCCTCCTCCTCGTGCTTCTCTTCCTCCTCGTCCTCCCCCACCGCCTACGCATGCTCCTCCTCCTCCTCCTCCTCCTCCTCCTCATCATCAGCATCATCATCATCATCATCATAATCATCATCATCATCATCATCATCATCATCATCATCATCATCATCATCATCATCATGCTACTCACCCTCCTCCTCCTCCTCCTTCTCATTCTCCTCCTCCTCATCCTTCCCCACCGCCTCCGCGTGCTCCTCATGCTCCTCCTCCTCCTCCTCCTCCTCTTTCTCTTTCTCCTCCTCCTCCTCCCCTCTCTTCTCACCCACTTACTCATGCTCCCCCCTCCCCCTCCTCCTCTCCTCCTCCTCCTCCTCCTCCTCCTCCTACTCCTCCTCCTCCTCCTCCTCCTCCTCCTCCTCCTCCTCCCCTCTTCCTCCTCCTCCTCGTCCTCCTCCTCCTGCTCCTTTTCTTCCTCCTCTTCCCCCTCCTGTTCCTCCTCCTACTCCTCCTCTTCTCCTCCTCTTCCTCCTCCTCCTCCTCCTCCTCCTCCTCCTCCTCCTCCTCCTCCCTCCTCCCCTCCTCCCCTCCTCCTCCTCCTACTCCTCCTGTCCTCCTCCCCTCCTCTCCTCCTCCTCTCTCCTTCTCCTCCTCATCCCTCCTTCTCCTCTCATCCTCATCCTCTCCTCATGCTCCTCTCCCCTCCTCCTCCCTCCTCCCTCCTCCTCGTCCGCCTCCTCGTCCTCCTCCTTCTGCACGTCGTCCTCCTCCTCCTCCTCCTCTCCTCCTCTCCTCCTCCTCCTCCTCCTCTCCTCCTCTCCTCCTCCTCCCCCACCCACTCCGCATACTCCTCCTACTCATTCCCCTCCTGCTTTTCTTCCTCCACCTCCTCATCCTCCTCCTCCTCATCTTCCTCCTCCCCTCCTCCTCCTCCCTCCTCCCTCCTCCTCCTCCTCCTCCTCCTCCTCCTCCTCCTCCTGCTCCTTGGCGCAGGCGGGGAGCGCCGGGCCCGAGGGGCGAAAAGCCCCCGCTCCCCTGGGACGGCCCCCATAAGCGGGGTTCCCTTCCCAGGGGGGGCTGCCAGGTCCCGGGGCCTCCCCCAGGGCGGCGCAGGGTTTCTCCCTCTGCGTTCGCCGCCTTGGGGCGGGACTGGCGGTCCGTCTCCCCGTCGTGTCGTGTCGTTGTCGTCGTCGTTTCGTCGTCGTCGTCGTCGTCGTGGGTCCCTGGGTCCGGGTCCATTTTTGCCCTGCCCCTTGGGCGTGCGGGTGGCCCTGCCGTTCGGCCTCCCCCTTCGTGGGGTCGGCTCCGTTCGGTTGGGGCCTCCCGCCTGCCCGTGGGGCGGGGCCTTTTTCCCGTGTACTCCGGTCGGGCTCGCCCGCCGGCCGGGCGCGCGGGGCACCGCGGCGGTGCCGCGTGTGACATCCTGCGGGCTGAAGGCGCGGTGGAGAAAAAATCCTCCTCCTGCTCCTCCTCCTGCTTCTCCTCCTCCTCCTCATCATCAGCATCGTCAGCATGCTCCTCCTCCTCATCCTACTCCTCCTCCGCCTCCTCCTCCTCCTCCTCATGCTCCTCCTCATCCTCCTCGTCCACTTCCTCCTCTTCCTCCTCCTCATGATCTCCATCCTCCTCCTTCCCCTCATCCTTCTCCTCCTCGTCCTCCTCCTCTTCCTTTTTCCCCGTCTTCTCCTCCTCCTCTCCCTCCTTCTCCTCCTATCCTCCTCATGCTCCTCCTCCTCACCAGCAGCATCATCAGCAGCAACAGCATAATCATTTTCATCAGCGCCAACATCGTCAGCAGCAGCATCATCGTCAGCATGATCATCAGCAGCATCAGCATCATCACCATGAGCTGCATCATCAATCCCATCCTCAACATTATGTTCGTCCTCACTCGCCATCATGCCCCTCATCCTCCCTGTCCTCCTCCTCCCCCACCTTCTCATCATGCTCATCGTGCTCCTCCTCATCCTCACCATGATCATTACATTCCTCCTCTGCCTCTTCCTCTTCCTCCTCTCCTAGCGCCTTCAAGGTAAGTCATCCATAGTCTACTGCCCCACCTTTTTGCGGCCGACAAGCTCGCAGGACGTCAACTCCAAGCGAAGACGTGCATCGTTGTCCCCCCCGACATGGACGCTGCCGACACCCGACCTGGTCACCACGATGCAGAATGTGTTTTCACACGCCCTGGAAGCTCTTCACGATAGCGGACAAGGCACGCTACCTTCTTGGCTTCTTTGTTGGACAAGGCGCCAGTCGATTAGACCAGTGGCACGGGCCTGCCGCCGAATGGTGGGACCGCATGATCAAGCTCGCCAGCTCTCACGCACCGCTCCAACAATGCATCAAGCTGTACAAGGTAGCCGCCGTCACATGTCTCTCATCTGCTGGACAGCTGTACGAACCGCCCGCCACTTCCGTTCCAAGGAGCACCAGGGCATCCACAAGTTACCCCGCGTTGCGCCCAACAGCTTTGCCAGGTCCGACGTCTTCGGCATGACCTCCCGGACCAACATCGAGACACCAAACGACATCGAGTCCCTACAATCCGCCACGCTGTGGCGTACCGCCACCAAGACAATCTCTGGCTGGAGCAAGTGGTTCAACGACCTCCGCGACGCCGCATGCAGCAACCTCGACATCGTGACAGTCCACAGCGGCAGATGGTGTGCCGCATGTCTGGTCGACCCGCTCGCCATCGTCCAGCGTTTCGCCGATGCCACCAACCCCTCCTACTTCGTCAAGACGGCGGGCTCCCACTTCAAGCGTCTCGTCCGCTCATTGGGCACCGCTGCGCGTGCGACAGGTGCCCTTGTCGCAGCCCACAAGCACGCCGCCCGCCTCGGCACCGAGCTGGCGTCCCGCAAGCGCTCGCCGCAGCAGGCGTACCTTCTTGCCCTCTGCCTGCGAGGGTCTCCACCCCGACACGCTGCACATCACTATCAAGAAGCGCCTCCAGGCCCGGTTCCTCCAGTCACCGCCTTCCATACGCCACCAAGGCCTTGCTGCCGAACGTGCCCAGCAAGCCCGTGAACGCCTTCAGCACCGCGCTGCGTACTGGGCTGGTGGCTGGCTCCCCGACATATTCCTGGATTACCTCACCATGAACAACACGCGCGACTGGAACGCCTGGTGCATTGCCTACCTCACGCAAGTCCTTCGCCACGAGATGTTCGCCGCGCTGTTCCGCTCGAGCGCCCAGCGCCAGCGCCTCGGCGAGGACGCCTGGGCCATGTCCAGCATGGCCCGCAGCCGCCTGGAGCTGGCCCTCCTCAGCGACACGGCCAACGACGCAGCGCGTGAACGGCGTCAGCGGGCTGTCCTCCGCCTTGCCGCTGTGGAGCACCGTGCTCGCCGCCGTTGGGTCCGCAGCCAGCGCGTGCTGTTCCCCGCAGATGACGGCCCACCGCTCGATCCAGATGATGCGCATCATGATGAAGCAGCCGAGCTGGACGCCCCAGACCTGACGCAGATGAAGGAGGTGCCCGCCGATCTCCCTGGACGAGGGGCTCGCCTCCGCACGTTCCTGGCAAGGCAGCCTCCAGCCAGAACGTGGGCGATTCCCAAGGCGTTGACGGGCGCCTGGCCCACCTCGGATCGCATGCGTGTTTTCCCGCAGAAGCGCCAGTGCATCTTCAGCTGCATGGCCGCCGACTCCATTCAAGACCACCTACAATGTCGCAGGTTCCTACACCACGTTGCCTATCTGCGTGGCCTGTTGAGTAACGACATCCTCACGCGCCTCGCCTTGCCAGACGCATCGGCGCATACGACCCGAACAAGTTCTACCACGCCACCCCTGCCGCCTGTTATGCGCTTCGCCTCCCCGCTGACCTGAGCGGAGTCGCTGGGCGCGCGTCGGCGACGCAGCGCGGTTAACCGAGGAAGTACAAGCGTTCGCGTTCGTTCCTCCTCCTCCTCCTCGTCCTCCTCCTCCTCCTTCTCCTCCTGATGCTCCTTATCCTCCTCCCCCAGCCACTCCTACTCCTTCTCATCATCATCGCCATCATCCTCATCTTCATGATCATCCTCGTCCTCCTCCTCGTGTTCCTCCTCCTCCTCCTCCTCGTGTTCCTCCTTCTCCTCCTCCTCCCCCGTCCTCCTCCGCCTCGCTCGTCCCTCCTCTGGCGGAGCGCGCGCGGTGTCCTTCATCTTGCACGACCGGCTCGGTCGCCGGGGCAGCGCGACCGGGTCGGGCCTCCGATTGTCGCCAGCAAGCTGGATACACGTGAGGCGTTCAAGAAAGGGCCTCGCCTTAGAGGGTCGAAGGCCTGCCGCTCCGCGCCCGTTGTCCGTTTCAGGGCCTTGTTCGCATTGGAAACGCGCCGCGTCGTTCTCACGGTTGTGCTGGAGACCCCGCTAAACTTCCGAGGCAATGGGAGTCGCGTTGAAAAAAGGAAGGGTAGCGGACGCCCGCGGAAGCAAAACGAGGCCGCCTCCGCATGCGGAAGCCGCCGGAAGCTCGGCCGAGGGCGGCGGAAGTAAACATTTACCTCCGAAGAGGCGGCAACGTTTGTTGTTCTTTAGGGCTACTTGAGCCCAGTTCGCATCGTTGGGTGCATTTTCCAGCGCTCGGCCCGTCTATGGCCATGCGCGTCTGGTTTCCACATGTGTATCTTCGGGGGCGGAAAAGAGGGGGGTGATGACTAGGGGGGGGTGGATATCATGGCGGGGGCCATGATATTTCCCCAGCTCTCATGGCGCCTCTTCTTGTTTCATTACGTCGCTGGCCGCCCCGCTGGGCCGCGCACATGCCGCCGGTCATGATTTGCACCCCCCCCTCTTGGACACCCCCCTCTTGGCCGCTCCCGATATCTAGCGCGTGGTGTCTGGTTGCTCCACCCATGGATAAGGACGCATGTGTGTGTTTCCACTTCCCTGGTGGGTCGAGCTCCCGACACTGTACATCGTCCCCTTCTTCACCCAGAAGGATCGACGCTGGGGCAGAAGGAAAGGATCGAAGGCCGGCAGCAGTTCTTGCTCATTTCGAGCAGGACTCGCTGACGGTGTCGCCGCGGACGTTGTCAATTCGGGGCGAACCTCGGCTGCCAAACAGCGGCCGCTGTTTATGTTGGGCAACCTTCGCTGTTTGACATCGCCCATTCTTTGTTCTAGTTTCCGTTTCGGGCGTGCAAAGGGTTGTCGACGTTACAACATATCGATCCGTAGTCATGTTTTGACGCGATGGGTAAGTATGAGTGTTGTAGTTTGCCCAGCGCTCGCGGTTACTCGGTCTAATCGATGTGATGCCCATACGGACGAGGGCATGCAGGAGGATGAGGAGGAGGCCGACGAGGAAGTTGAATGGTGTTCGGTTGAAGGGAGTATGTTGTTCCAAGACGTCCGCGCGGAACTCTACAAGTGTGGCAAGGCAAGTTTCACTATACCTTCATCGCTCCGCCCTCCTTCTCAGGACTCCTCATCCAGTGGGTCCTCAGTAGGCGATCGTGCAGGCTTGGGTGTGGGAGCGACTGTGTAGAATCATCGTCGAAATGTGCTCAGCCTCTGCTGCTTCCCTGCATCTGTGCGCAGGAACAAGTTGCCAAGAAGGAGCAGGGCATCAAGTCAGCGGAGGCCCTGAAAGAGCTGCGCAACAGAAAAATCACTGAGATGGAGGATAGCAGTTCTGTTTCCGCCTCCTTCTCTCTCTGTATATAGATACACCGATGTTTATATAGATACATCATACATGTTTCTCTCTCTCGGTCGTTTGTTGTGACTCTCTCTCTCTCTCGTTTGTCTCTCTCTCTCACTCTCTCTCACTCTCTCGCTTTTCTCCACATGAATATATATATATATATATATAAACATGTGTGTGTGTGTGTTTGTTGTTTTTCTCTTTCTCTCTCTCTCTCTCCCTCTCTGTTCGATTGTTGGTGTCGTTCTCCCTTTCTCTCTCTCTCTCTCTCTCGCTCTCCCTCTCCCTCTCCCTGTCTCTGTATGTGCGCCCTATACATCTATGTCACCACTTATGTATATATACACATATATATGTATATATATATATATATGTACATCGATATGTCTATCTGTATGCCTGCATTCGGAGCCGACTAGTTAGGACGATTCGTTGAAGAAGAATTAGCACCGCCAGTGTGCTGTGCTAACCGCCTCGCGGCGGGGATCGGGCTCGAACCGTTGCCTTCTCTTCGGGCGAGGCGGAATGTTTCCGGCCCCGCCTGTGCTAACCATTTCTTGGAGAGCTCGTGCGAATTAGCCCTTGGGAAATAGTCGGGGACCGTGCGAAGGGCCAGAGTTACGACGGGGGAAACTCCACTGCAAAGTCTTAGCTAGTAGGTGCACACAGATCCCGCTACAGAACGCAGTTGTTTCACAAGCCAGGGTGAAAGGGAGGAGGAGGAGGAGGAGGAGGAGGGGGAAGAGGAAGAGGAGGAGGAGGAGGAGGAGGAGGAGGAGGAGAAGAAGAAGAGAGGCACCAGATGGCGAAATGTACGAATTACCTCTGAAGCGTATGCTCCCCACGCCAGCCACACCCTTGTGCGACAGACCCGTATTGAACGGCCTCAAACCCAGGATGATGACATTACGGTGGCGAGGCGGTGAGGCGGCGAAGCCGCCTTGGATGCTCGAGGCATTATGAGGGGATGGGGATACGGATGCCCCCCTAAAAAGAGAGATCTCTCTCATTTTCTCTCTATCATTCTGTATATATAGGTGTATTGCACAGCCAGAACGAGGGGAGACAGCTACAAGAACGAGGGGCGAGCAGCAGAGGGAAGGTGACTGCAGGAGGAGAACAAGGACGAAAGCGGCGTCTAATTTGAATCTGCGGTGGGTACCCACTGTGCTGGGCCCCCCAGCAGGCCTCGAAAGTGGCGACAGTTTCACAGATCGCAGCTCCCCAGGGTTGGCGAGGTCTAATTTGAGTCTGCGGTGGGTACCCACTGTGCTGTGCCCCTCAGCAGGCCTCGAAAGTGGCGACAGTTTCACAGATCGCAGCCCCCCCAGGGATGGCGAGGTCTAGTGTGAATCTGCTGTGGGTACCCACTGTGCTGGCCCCCCCAGGAGGCCTCGAAAATGGCGACAGTTTCACAGATCGCGCCCCCCCAGGGATGGCGAGGTCTAATTTGAGTCCGCGGTGGGTACCCACTGCGCTGGGCCCCCCCAGCAGGCCTCGAACGTGGCGACAGTTTCGCAAATCGCAGCCCCCCAGGGATGGCGGGGTCTAATTTGAGTCTGCGGTGGGTACCCACTGTGTTGGGCCCCCCAGCAGGCCTCGAAAGTGGCGACAGTTTCACAGATCGCAGCCCCCCAGGGATGACGAGGTCTAATTTGAATCTGCGGTGGGTACCCACTGTGCTGGGCCCCCCAGCAGGCCTCGACAGTGGCGACAGTTTCACAGATCGCAGCCCCCCAGGGATGGCGAGGTCGAATTTGAATCTGCAGTGGGTACCCACTTTGCTGGCCCCCCCAGCAGGCCTCGAAAGTGGCGACAGTTTCACTGATCGCAGCCCCCCAGGGATGGCGAGGCCGAATTTGAATCTGCGGTGGGTACCCACTGTGCTGGGCCCCCCAGCAGGCCTCGAAAGTGGCGACAGTTTCACAGATCGCGCCCCCCCAGGGATGGCGAGGTCTAATTTGAAGCTGCGGTGGGTACCCACTGTGCTGGGCCTCCCAGCGGGCCTCGAAAGTGGCGGCAGTTTCACAGATCGCAGCCCCCCAGGGATGGCGAGGTCAAAAGGCAGGGGGGGGAGAGAGGGACGGGAAGGAAGGAAGGACGGAGACGCGCGAGCAGTGCTCCATTCGAAACGAGAACCCAACGCAGGAGGGTTGGGAACAAAAAACCCAAGGCAGGCCCAAAACGGGCCAGGAGTCCGAACATGACCCCAAGACAGCCCAACAGAGCCAAAGTTTGCCCCAAGTCGTGCCCAAACCATAATGAGATTGCACCACGTCCCACAGGGGCCATCTGAAGGCTCTGTGAGACATCAAGACGGTCCACGTGACGTAAACATTATGAACGCGAGGCTTTCCAAGAGTGAGCGGCGGTGCAAACCACCTTCAACGTCGAAATAATCGAGCCTCGCTGCGACACGGTCCCGAGGCCACCCAAGGCCCTCACACGGCTCCTACCATAGCCCCAAGGACACGGTCATTGGTAAGCACATGTCGCCGCTCGACATTATGTCGTGTCCTCCATGCCGTCTCCTACCCAAGTAATTCGGCACTGGCGAGCCCTTCGTGGCGTTTTTGGCCACCCCCCCTTCTGACGCCACGACCTTCTGGCCCTCACACGGCTCCTTCCATAGCCCCCAAGACACGGTCATTGGTAAGCCCAGGTTGCCGTTCCACATTCTGCCGTGTCCTCCATGTCGTCTCGTACCCAAGTAATTCGGCATTGGCGAGCCCTTCACTGCGTTGTTCCCGCCCCTTTGTGGCCACGACCGCGCACATGCCCATGGACATGAATGAGTACACGTAGATCTGTCCAAGTAGGCATGCTATATATATGTATGTACATATATATGTATATATTTGTGTATGCGCAAGCATGGGCACATGTACACACACATATATATATATATAAACTAATACATACATCCATATACCCACACGACTACACAACCACACAGACATGTATGGCGTGCATAAGCACGTGCGCGCATGGCATGTATGCACACATTGCGCGTGTATGACATGCATGCGCGCGACTGGCATGCATAACGTGCATGCATGTCATTCGGCACTCGCGAGCCCTTCACTGCGTTTCTGGCTCCCCCCTCTGTGGCCACCACCGCGTACATGTCCATAGGCATGCACATGTATACACGTAACCCTGCCCAAGTACACATGATACGTGTGTGTGCGCAAGCATGGGTCTAGTTATATAGACAGATGTACACTACTGCAGTGGCGCTTCGCGCCATGCACCTCGGACCTTCGAGTTTCGCACGCGGGCGACGTGCGCGCGCGTACACACGCGCGCGCGAATATGTCCATACATCTCATACGCGCGCCCGTGCTTATGCACGCCATGCATGTATAGACATCTGGCGTGTGGACATATATACATATAAGTGAGAGTTTGTCTATATATAGATATATACACACTTATGTATAGACGTGTGTGGGTGTATTGATGCACGTATGTGTGTGTGTGTGTCTCTCTGTCTCTCTCTCTCTCTCTCTCTGTATGTATATATATATGTGCATGTGTGTGTCCATGCTTGCGCATACATATGTATCATGTCTACTTGGCGAGTCTACGTGTACACACATGCGTGTCTATAGACATGTGCGCGGTCGTGGCGTCAGAAGGGGGGGTGGCCAGAAACGCCGTGAAGGGCTCGCCAGTGCCGAATTACTTGGGTCGGAGACGGCATGGAGGACACGGCAGAATGTCGAGCGGCGACATGTGCTTACCAATGGCCGTGTCTTTGGGACTATGGAAAGAGCCGTGTGAGGGCAATGGGTGGCCTCGGGACCGTGTCGCAGCGGGCGTGGTTCGTTGTTTTGCGCCGCCGTTCGCTCTTGGGAGGCCTCGCGTTCAGAATGTTTTAAGTCACGTGGACCGTCTTGATGTCTCACAGGGCCTTCTGAGGGCCTCTGTGGGACGTGGTGCAGTCCCATTATGGTTTGGGCACGTCTGTGGGCGCGATTTGGCTCAGTTGGGCTGTCTTGGGGTCATGTTCGGGCTCCTGGCCCGTTTTGGGCCTGTCTTGGGGTCGTTTTGTTTGTTGTTGTTTTTTGTTTGTCCCTGGCGTTTTCGAACTTCGGTGGGGTCCTGGCGGGATATTTTTGGACTCTTGCGGGCCTCTTGGAACTTTTGGGGGGCCTCTTGGGGGCCTTGGGGCCGCTTCGGGATATCTTGGGAACCTCATGGGGCCTCGTGGGACCCTGTCGGGACTTTCTGGGGACAGTCTTCGGGTGATCTAGGGGACCTCGTGGGCCGTCTTGGAGCATCGGGAAGCCGAAGAACATTCCCCACAAACAGACGGATAATGAATACATGCTGCCTAGTGGGGCACTGTTGGGAGTGCTCTTGGGGGCCTTTTGGGACGTTTTGGAACGATCTCGAACTTTTGTGGGGTCCTTGGGTCTTTTGGGGCTCTTGGGCATATCTTGGGGCTTCCTGGGGGCTTCTTAGGACAAGCGGGCGCGCGCTGCTGCAGGCCGCAGACAGAGCTGCCAGCGCAACAGCTCCAGAGTGCACGCCCCCCGCCGTTCTGCGCGAACGGGCGGCGCCCGGCGCAGAGCTGCCTGGTGTAATTGGACGCGCGGTGCGCCTGTGCAGGCCGCCGAGGGCGCAGTCTGTCCGCGCGCCAGCACCGCAGGGAACGCAGGCCGAACGCGCGCTGGCACTTGAAAGGCACGCTCCGTGCAGTGGTGAGCGAGCAGGCGAGGGAGCGCAGGGCGACCGTGCACTGGCTCTTTGGAGGACGCGCTTGGTTCCAGGGAGCAAGATTCTCACGAGCCGCGCCTTTCTCCATTCGGAGGTTCGGGGATTCGTTTGCCTTTTCGCCAAACTGGAATCCGAGAGCAGCGGCAGTCGGAATTGGCAAATTTGAGGAGCAGGGGTAAGGGGAGTTTGCCACTTGCATAGCACGTGCGGGCGCGCGGGCAGCTTCATGATGCGACGGTAAATTTCCGGTTCATGAACATTTTCTACGCACGGCCGTTCGACCGCGAGCTTGGGCGACGCCCTCGAGCGCGCTGCGCGCCGTCGCAGGCCCGCAGTCGCAGGCCCCGAAGAGGGGGCGCTGTCCGACCGCGCACTAGTATTGGAGGCCCGCAGCTCTAAGCGAGCGTGCAGCACCAGGCTATGAGCGAGCGGGCGGTACCTGAGCGCCACAGGGTTGCCGCACCTACCGAGTGCGCAGTGGCCCGGGGCAGACCCCGACGAGGGGGCGGGGGCCGACCGTGCATTTGCACGTGGAGGGCGCGCTCTGCGCAGCTCTGAGCGAGCGTGCAGCATCAGGCTATGAGCGAGCGGGCGGCGCCTCAGCGTTGCCAGGTTGCTGAACCAACCGGGTGCGCCACGCGCCGGCGCAGGCCCCGACGGGGGGCGCGGGCCGACCGCGCGCGGGCATGGAGGATGCGCTCCGCGCAGCTCTGAGCGAGCGGGCGGCGCCAGAGCGTCACAGGGTCGCCGAAGTCGGCGCGGTCCCTGACGAGGGAGCGCGGGCCGACGGCGCGCCAGCGCTTGGCGGGCACGCTCCGCGCATTCTGAGCGAGCGGGCAGCGCCTGAACGTCGCGGGGCTGCTGAACCAACCCAGCGCGCCGCTCGCTGGCGCGGGCCCTGAGGGCGTGCCCCGCGCAGCGGCACTCGGAGGGCGTGCCCCGCGCAGCTCCGCGCGAGCGGGCGGCTCTGAGCGTCGCGGGGTTACCGAACCAATTTGGTTCGGAGCGCCGGCGCAGGCCCCGAGCGCAGCCGCGAGCGCGGGCCGCGTTGCAGGCGGCGCAAGCCGAAAACTGCACTGCGACGAACAGGCCGCGGAGGGCTCAGGCTTCGCGCAAGAGCGAGAGGCGGCCGCGGCGCAGCTGGCACGGGCCGCCGTCGTGCGGACAGTACCCGAGCGTCACAGGTTTGCTGATTGTAGTCAGGGCGCGCGCTGCGCCGGCGCGCGCTGGCCGATCGCGCAGCGCGACCCGAGCGCCCCGTTTTGGGCCGCTTTGCGCGCGCGGGCGGCACCTGAGCGCATCAGGGTTGCCGATTGTTGTCCAGGCGCGCGCCGCGCCGGCCCGCGAAGGCCGAACACGCGGCGCGGCCCGAACAGATTGCCCCGCGCTGCGCGAGCGGACGGCGCCTGAGTGCCGCGGGGTTGCTGACTGCAGTCAGGGCGCGCGCTGCGCCGGCGCGGGTTGGCCGACCGCGCAGCGCGACCCGATCGCCCAGCTCCATGCCGCTCTGCGTGGGCGGACGGCACCTGGGCGTCACAGGGATGCTGACCGCTGTCAGGGCGCGCGCTGCGCCGGCCCGCGCAGGCCGAACACGCGACGCGACCCGGGCGCATAGCTCCGCGCCGCATTGCGCGAGCAGGTGGCACCTGGACGTCGCAGCGTTGCTTTTCGTAGCATTGAGGCGCGCGCTGCGCTGGCGCAGCCTGGCCGAACACGCAGCGCGACCCGAGCGCGTAGCTCCGCGCCGCTTTGCGCGAGCGGACGGCATCTGAGCGCCGCGGGGTTGCTGGCTGCAGCATCGAACGCGTGCGCCGCCGGCGCAGGCTGGCCGGCCACGCAGCACCGAACACCGAGCTCCGCGTCGCTCTGCGCAAGCGGACGGCACCTGAGCGACGCGTGGCTGCCGGCGTCGACGATGGGCGCAGATCTCGGCGGCGCGGGGGGGATCAAGCCCCCGACTGGGGGGCCGCAAGCGCGCGGCACCACCCCAGGGCATTCGCGCGTAGAGGCAAGCAAGAAAGGGAGGAGGACAGAGGGTGGTACACACCCGCACACACACACACCATGAGGAAACGTGGGAAGGCTAGAGAAAGGATGGTGCCCGTGAAAACCTCGCTTCCCGAATGCGAAGCCCTCTTAGACGCTACGCGTCGACCGTCTTGGGCTCGTGGGTCGTTTCGGAAGCGCGCCAGAACGTCGGGGGCCCTCTGGGGCGGTTTTCGGGCTCTCGCGAGGTCCTCCCAGGTCGTCTGGCAAGCTGCCCGACAGGCCCGGGGTGGGCCGAATTCGTTGGGCGTGCGGGGGGGGGGCTGTTTTCAGGGCCCGCGGCCTTTTCAAGCATCGGAGGTGAGGGGGTGAGATCGAAGTGGAACGGAGAGCCCCTTCTACCGGGAAATCCGTTTCGGTTTCGTGTTCGCGCGCGCCGTGCGCGCGGGCGAGGCGAAGCTGCGTGGGCGGGCGAGAAGAAAGTCTCCTCCGGCTGAGGCGCGGCCGGACCAAATGATTCCTCTCCGGGGGCCGGTGCCGCGCGGTGCCCCGCCAGTGTCCCGCCTCCGGCTGAGGCGCGGCCGGACCAGTTTTTTCTTTTCCGGGGGCCGGTGCCGGGCGGTGTCCCGCCAGTGTCTCGCCGGTGTCCCGTCGGTGTCCCGATGATGATGATGCTGATGATGATGATGATGATGATGATGATGATGATGATGATAAGGTTAACGATGTTGATGATAATAATAATGATGACGATGATAGTGATGCTGGTGATGATGACGGTGTCCCGGTTATCATGATGTTGTTGATTATGTTGTTGTTGATGATGATGATGATGACGGTGTCCCGATGATGATGATGATGATGATGATGATGATGATGATGATGGTGTTGATGATCCTGATGAGGTTGATGATGATGAGATGGTGATGAGATGATGATGGCGATGGTGTCCCGATGATGTTGATGAGGAGGTTGATAATGATGCTGTTGATTATGATGATGATGATGATGGTGTCCCCATGATGATGATGTTGATGATGATGACGATGGTTGTGTCCCGATGATGATGTTGATGATGGGGGTGATGACGATGTGATGATGATGCTGGTGTCCCGATGATGGTGATGAAAAGTATGTTGATGTTGGTGATAATGATAGTGTCCCGATGATGATGATGATGGTGGTGATGATGATGCTGGTTACGATGATGGTGTCCCGATGATTATGCTGATGTTGTTGATCATGGTGATGCTGCTGGTGATGTGATGGTGTCCCGATGATGATGATGTTGATGATGGTATTGTTCACGATTCGGTTCATAATGCTGATTGAATGATGATGATGGTGGTGGTGTTTCGATGATGATGCTGTCCCGATGAGGATGTTGATGATGATGGTGACGATGATGGTGCCCCGATGATGAAGATGACGATGGTGATGATGATGATGATCATGTTGATGATGATGGTGATGAGGTGATGATGATGGTGGTGTCCCGATGATGATGATGATGATGATGATGATGATGATGATGATGATGATGATGATGATGATGATGATGGTGATGGTGATGATGATGATGGTGTCGATGACGTTGATGACGATGCTGTTGATGATGATGATGATGACGTTGATTGTGAGATCGATTGTGGTATCCATGCTGGGATCGGTAATGTGACCGGATGTGAGATCGATTGTGAGATCGATAGTGGGATCGATAGTGATATCGATTCTGGGATCGATAGCCAGATCGATTGTGATATCGATCGAATGAAATAGATCGAGTGGTATCGATTGTGAGATCGATCGAGTGAGATCGATCGAGCGAGACCGATAGTGAGATCGATAGTGAGATCGATAGTGAGACCGATCGAGTGAGACGTTGGTTCCTCCCCCCCCGAACCTCCTTATCACCCGAAGGGTGGTCGTATAGGTATGAATAAGAATATCGCTGCAAACGATAAAGGGGGATAGGCATTGGGTGAGATGCATCGACCCTTGATCGCCCACTGATCGCCGATAGGGGTCCGATTGCCCCAACCCGCCCAGGAAGGTGCGGATTCGATATCGTGTGCTAATTGCCAATCTATCGGCGATGTATCGCCGACTCCAGGTCAATGCGTCCCCCCCTTTGCCTATCCCCCGCCGTATTGTTGCCCTTCAAGGAGAGTGAGAGAAAGAGAAAGAAAGAGAGAGACAGAGAGAGAGAGCGACAGAGAGAGAGAGAGAGAGAGAGACGGAGAGACCGACATCCCGGTCCCAATCCTTTGTTTCCAGGACCGCCTGCACGAGGTCGTCACGTCTGCCCCCTCCCTCTGCCTCATCCCGCGCCCCCGCCGGGGTTCTGCCCTTCTCTCTCTCTTTCTCCCTCTCTCTCTGCGTTCTTGCTGCATGGGCCTCTCCGTCGTCTCGCGAACCACCCTCTGTACGACGTCTCGCTGGGCCTGGCCACCACTGCGCACTGCTCGGGGGCAGGGGTCCCGACCACCTTCTCCAGGTTCGCTTGGCGGGAGTCATCGTCCCATCAGTTGGGAAGCTGGCGGTTGTCATCGTCAGGCGTTTTTTCTTCCTGGGGGAGGGAAACAAATACAAAACATTATACATATATATGTATATGTATATGTATATACATAAATTTATAATATTACGAACGATTATATATATATATATATATATATATATGACAAAACAAAAAAAACGCACCCCCGCCGAGGAGGAGCATGGCAGGCGCGTGGCGGAGCTCGCCGGCGAGCGCGACCGCCTCCAGCAGGAGCTGCAGCAGAGGCCGGCGGCGGAGAGCGCCGCGGCCGCGAAGCGGGCCACGACAAGGGGGGGCGAGGGGCCAGCCTTCCACCACCCCCTCCTCCTCCTCCTCCTCCTCCTCCGTAGCCATTTTGGCTCATGCCTTTCCGTATGCCCCCCGCTCCTGGACTCTTCTTCGGCGTTCCCTGCGACCCCAACCCGTCGTCCTGTCGGGGCAACGCGGCGGGCGTGAGGGAAGGGGGAGCGGGGCTCTCGGCTCGGATCGCATGATGGCTTCGGGGGGCCGCCCTGCGTGGTGGCGGCCCGTTGGCGCGCTGGAGAAAGTGCAGCTCGGCGCGACGACGGCTCGGCGGGCGGCCCGCCGCCGGGCGCAGCTGGCCTGCGAGGCTGGCTTAAGGCGTGCCCGGGCCGACCTGGGTGCTGCGCCGCCAGGTTCGTGGCGTGACCGCGAGCGGGCCGCGCGCCCAGCACTGCAGCTGGCGGCCCTCGGCGCGCCTGTGCCAGGGCGTTCGCGGCGCCGCCGCAACGCCGCGTGGCACGCGGCCCGCGTCCCGCCCCTCGGCTTCTCGCAGGCCACGGACGAGGAGCTCCAGTGGGTTGCCGCGGGGCCCCGCTTGGGAGCGGCCGCGCCCTTCGACGAGGATGCCATGGGGAACGCGGCAGCGATCCTCGCCCCCGTCGACGTCCTCCCCGACGCCCCCGCCCCTGGCCACCCCGCGGCCGCGGAGGATCGGCCTACACGGCTGCGGGAGGCAGCCCCTCCCTTCGTGCCTGGCGCGGAGGCCCCGCACACGGTGCTGCGGGTGGCGGCCCCGCCTTTCGTGCCTGCCGCGGAGGTGCCGATGCATGCGTCGGAGGAGGGGATGGAGGACGAGGTGCGAGGCAGCCGCTGCTCGTGCGGTGCCGTGGTCTTCGCGCCCTGTTCGATGGGCCCTGCCCACTGCTGGTCACGCGGTGGGGCGATGCGCCGCGGGCCGTTTGCCTCGCCCGGCCAGATGCCCGCGGACGCGGTGCCGACGGATGACCACGGGCACTCGTCGGCGAGCTGTGCCGTGGGCGACGACGCTGCCGTGGTAGGTGAACCCGCGCCGTGCACGCCGTGGCCGAGGGCCCCGCCGCGGCCCCGGGACCTCTCCCCCGTGAAGGAGGTGAAGGCTGCGAGCCTCGCCCGGGAGGAGACCGCGCCGGAGGAGGCCGGCTCCCGCGGGCCTGAGGGGTGTGGTAAGTCCGTGGCTCCCACCGTGGAGGAGGTCGCGGAGCCCCTCGACGAGAGCGTCGTTCGAGGCGGGGAGCCTGCTGTTGAGGCCGACACCGTGTCGGATTTCAACGTCGAGGACTTCCTCACCGAGATGTTCTCGGCCTCTGGCGGCGGGGACGGGGTGCACATGGGCGACGTGGTCCGCAAGCACGAACGCCTCGGGGTCGACCTCGGGCTCGTGGCCGACTACATGGCCCCGGACCGTTTCGCGGAGGTCTTCTACGTGGACGGCGAGTACCTCTTCCGCGCCAGCGCGGTGCAGTCCTCTCCCTGAGGCTGCACTGGGGGCGTCGGCCTCAGGGTACGGCCCCAGCGCAGTTTCCACGTCGAGGCGTATGCCGCCCCTGCGGGGGGAGTGGTTCTGCGCAGGAGTGTCGGCCTCTGGGTGCGGCTCCGAGTGGTGACGGCCTCTGGGTACGGCCACGGGCCCAGTCCTCCGCGGGGGGGGGTTTGGCGGGGGTGTCGGCTTCAGGGTACGGCCCCGCAGGGACTTCCTCGGCGCGGCCTTCGCTGGGAAGCCGGAGCGGGCGGACGCGGCTCTGCCGCCGCCGGTGCGGCCGCGCCCGCGCGCACCTGGCGGTGTATAGGTCAACCGCCTCGCCTCCCGACTTCTTGTGGCCCTGGCCGTCGTGAGTTCTCACGGCGGTCAGGGCTTCCTTTGAAGCTGCGCCCACCCATCCTCCTCCTCCTCCTCCACCTCCCCCTCCTCCCCCTTCTCCCCCTCCTCCTCCCCCTCCCCCCGCCTCCCCCTCGCACAAGGGTTGCGAAGACGAGGTCTCCTGGAGGTCCCCGGGCTGCGAAGACGGGGTCCCCGGGGGCGAGGGGCCAGCCTTCCACCACCACGTCCAGATGTATCGTCGGGGGCGGCACAGAGGGGGATGATGACTAGGGGGGGGGGATATCCTGGCGGGGGCCATGATATTTCCCCAGAGGGGGCTGCCCTGGGAAGTCTGGACGGAGGGGGGGTCCCAAGGGGTGGTGGTCCAGGGGAGCTGGGGCTCAGGCTCAGGGGAGGGTCCGAGGGGGACGAACCACGGCGAACCACGAATCACGACGAAAATGAGGATGTCCGCGGCCCAGGGGGGCTGTCCTGGGAAGCCTTGACGGAGCAAGCCGAACGGTGGGTGGCCCAGGGGAGTTGGGGCTCAGGCTCAGATTTCACGGCGCCTCTTTTTTTTTCACTACGTCCCTGGCCCCCCGCCCTGGGCCGTGCACATGCCGCCGGCCATGATTTGCATCCCCCCCTCTTGGACAAACCCCTTATGACCGCGCCCGATTGCGGAGGTGGATAGACCTCCTACCCTGACACGCCGATTCAGAAATTGGCCGTGTTCGGTTCGCGAGAGGGCGTCGCGGCCGTCATTTTTGCGGGTCCGGGTCCGTCGGTTTTTTGTCCCAGGCCGTCTTCACTAAGGGGAGGTTTGCTAAAGGGAGGTTTGTCCACCGCCGAATGTAGGACGGGGGAAAAGGGAGGGTGGGGAGGTCCTCCTCTCCTCCTCCTTTTCCTTCTCCTTCTCCCTCGCCTACCGATGGTAGTGGTGGTGCAAGATCGGCCCATCAGGGGGTGCGGCGGTGCGGCGGGATCGCGGGGTGCCAGGCCGCCCACCTGGCAGCAGAGCTAGTGACGGCTACTCCGATTCGGTTCGATTCGATGTCGATGGCTTCCGATTCCGATCCGCTTCGACCTGGGATTCCGATTTGGGCTTCGATTTCTTATTGGAGGCACACTAGCCTGCCGATTCCCGCCGATTCGACTTTTCCCGATTCGGCTGCCGATTTCCGCCGGTCCGATTCATTTCGATCGCTGGATGAAAGGCCGGTGCCAGGGAACGGGTCTAGACTTTCGGGGGTCCACGCTCCTCGGCGATGTGGTTCGATGCGGAGCCCGCTTGTTCGGAGGCCTAGGGGTTGACACCAACACCAATATCAGCGGTGTGCCTCCACCGAGGGCAGATGATCATGGTTTCGGTGATGGTGGTAATATTCGTGCTACCCAGATGGCCGAAATACTATCACCAACGCCAAAATCTAGGATTATCTTCCCCTGGTGGAGGCAATCCCCTGTTTTGGTGTTGGTGCCCATGTTCAGGCCTCCAAATTGTCTCCACGTCGGTGACGCCGATGTATCGTTGGCGTCGCCGACGATGCGTCCGCGATGAATCGGCGATGCGACGCGATCCTCGGACTTCATCTGCTCAGACCCCATTTGAGAGGCCTTCAGGGTTGGGGAGCGCGGTTCGTGGTACACGTCGGCTCTCGGCGGTTTTTGTCAGTTCTCACCGGTTTTCCATCCTCGGGGTGCGGCCCAACAGCTGCGCAGCTGCGCCTCGCCGAGAGCGCTCTGGGGGTGCCAAGATCGTCCCGAGCGGCCGCTGGAGACCCGGTGTAGACCTCCAGGGCCCACGCATCGAAAAAATTGGAGCAGCCAGATGTCTGGGTACTGGGATCCACCTCATCCCGAACTTAGACCCCCCTGCGGGCATTGCGTTTTACATCGTATGCTTCTGCCCCTCGCTCATTCCACACGTGATTTTTAACAGTGCCCCAGGAGGGCCGCTATCGACCCCCCCCGTCCTCCTGTCAAAGAACACCATGCGCGCACATTTGTGGACCTCCGATGATCATTCTACAAGAACCCCTTGCGAAAAAACAACGTCCACGTGCGCGCGCACCTTTCATCAAGCATCTTGCATATTGTCTGCCGCGCGCTGCTATTGAAATTCTAGGAAGACCATCCGATGTTAGATCTATCTGCAGATCTCGCATTCTCATCACACCACGCGGTTCACCCGCGTCGATCTAGCACGCGCACACTGCACGAGTCGCAACCCATAAAACCATTGCGGGCCACATGCGTACGCCGCCTCGCGCGGGTCGAAATCCTTCCCAAACCGTTGGAAATCGAAGCCTTTCAAGATAGAGCTCTTCAACACACATACCAAAAACGATAGCCCGTCAACAAAAGGTCTGCCATATAACTTGATTTCTTGCGCGCGTGCGCACGTCTTCATCGCCCTCAGTAGCGCCATCGCTTCACCGCTGTTGTCCTGATCGTCAGTCGCCGCCATCGCCGCCATCATAAGCACAACCACCTCCATCACCGGCGCATGGACATCATCATCGTCATCATTGTCACCAGCATCGGCGCCATCATTGGCCCTACCGTCGTCAGTGTCATCATCGCCACCACCACCGCTATTATTCTCATCGTTGCCGCCGTTGTCGACGTCGTCATGATATCGCACCCACCACCCGGATCACCGACCCGAATGGAAGCGCCCGCGCACCAGAGTGGCCTTTGAGACGCGCTGGGCAATTTCCATCGGTAAGCGGCACCGCGGCCGCATCGGTTGTGCCAAGCCAATTAGCCGCTATGCACACGATCCTGCGCGCGCCAGCGCGGCCATAGAGATGCGCCAGTCTGCACAAATCAGTAGCCGCAATCGTGGCCGCGTGGGTTTGCCGAACGAGTTGCGGGTTGGAGTGTGGAATGTTTACGCGAGCGTTCGAGTTGGCAGCCTTAATCTCTTCACCATGAGTTTTTGTCCAACCTTCCTTGGTTGGGTATTCGTTTTGAATCGAGTACCGCGTTCGCGTCTTCTCCTTCTTCCTTCTCCCGCCCCCCGCCTCCTGCCTCTCGCCCCCCCTCCTTCTTGTCTCCTCTTGCCTTGTGCGTAATTGCCGCTTGTGTGTGCACGTTGTCTGAGGTACTTGTCTCCGACCTCGCCGACCCTGGGGGGCTGCGTTCTGCAAAGCTGTCGCCACTTTCGAGGGCTGCTGGGGGAGACACCCACCTCACCCACCCTTCAGCCGCGCGCAGAAGGGGGTAGGGGGAGAGGGGAAGGCTTCTTAAAAGTACCCCTGCCTCTTGGAAGGCGCGGGCCTTCTCTCTATATGAAGGGCCAACACCTTTAAGAAGCAGCTTCCTTCTAAGGAGACTTCCCACCTACCCCCCCCCCCCACACCTCCTTGTGCGCGCCGCCAACCCCTGCAGGAGGAGGAGGAGGAGGAGGAGGAGGAGGAGGAGGAGGAGGAGGGAGGGAGGAGAGGAGGGGGGGGGGGGGGGGGGGGGGGGGGGGGGGGAGGAGGGAGAGGGGGGAGGGAGGGAGGGGAGGGAGGAGGAGGAGGAGGAGGAGGAGGAGGAGGAGGAGGAGGAGGCACACCCCCGCGCGCGCGGTTGGGGGCCAATGGGAGGGCGGCAGGCCGAGGAGGAGCTGAAGCTCTGCCGCCGGCAGGCCGACCGAGGGCTCGCGCTGGCCGCCGACTACCAGCGAGCCGTCGAGGCGGCGCCGCGTAGGGGGGGCGGGACCTCCTCCTCCTCCTCCTCCTCCTCCTCCTCCTCCTCCTCCTCCACCTCCACCTCCTCCTCCTTCTCCTCCTCCTCCCTCCTCCTCTCCTCCTCTCCTCCCCGCCTCCTCCTCCTCCTCCCCTCCTCCTCCTCCTCCTCATCCTCCTCCTCCTCCTCCTCCTCCTCCTCCTCCTCGCGGGCCTCTGGAGTCGAAGAAGGACATCGCCATCAACAGAAGCAGAAACTCATGGCGCTCCGCGCGGATTTCTTGGATCCGCGCTGGGCCTCCCGGGCGGCGCCTCGGGCCATGGCTCCAACCGGGGGAGGCGGGGCACTGATGGCTCTCTTGGGGCCCTCTTCGGCCCCCATTGGAACTCTCTTGCCTGGCATCGCTCGGACGTGTGCGTTTTTTTTTCATCGGCGAGGACCATCGAGGAGCATCCTTGATCATCTGCCGAAAAAAAACACGCACGAAACCAAAAAAACATAGGGAATGGACGTCCGAGCGATAGCCAGCTTGGGCCATCTTGGGGCCATCTTGAGGCCTCAGAGGCGCATCGGAAGCGACAAGAGAATGCAGCACCAAACTGTGGCTTCCTTCGGTTTGAAAGGGCTTGGGCCTCTTGGGGGGCTCCCTAGAAGACTCGAAGGGCACTTGTAACCCTCTTGGTGTTGGGCAATGCTGAACCATCTTGGAGACCATATTGCGCTCTCGGAGGCCCTCTTGGCGCCATCTTGGGCCACCTTGGACGCTCCAACCACCGGCGCCGCCCCGTTCAGACTTAGGCGAAGGGGTAGGGGAGGGGTCAAGACACCCTCTCCGCACGCAAGCTGTTTAGCTCGCTCCCACCCGCCCTCCTACTACATAAGTGGCATCCGAGTCTCGGCATAGCCAGGGGTCGCCACTGGATGAACAGCCACTGGGAACCAAAGCGGACGCCAGGTGCCCGACGCTCGCTACGGGCTTCACATGCAGTTTTTATGCCATCCTTGTAAAACATTTGATGCCCCCCGTCCGCATGGTCCAGATGCTGATGTGGGAGGCCTCAGCATTGTTGTGGGCCTGCGCACAGCAAGCATCATCATGCGGGCACCACCGCCGTCTCTGTCAAAAAACAAGACAAAGTGATCGCGGGTGGCCAGCACAATACCCACGACGTTGTCGCAACGTGCACTTCGTATTGTTCTTGACACGGATGGTGGTCCTGCACAAAAAGCGGCTTCACTAAGGGTGGCCCGCCATCCCTGTCAAAAAACAACGTGCTCACAGGGCGGCAGCGCACTGTTCAGATTTTGCTGCAATTTGCACTTCGTATTGTTTTTGAAAGGGATTGTGGAGGGTGTTGGCAGCGTGGGCCCCGTAATGTGAATGTCGTAATATTTTTTGACAGGGATGGTGGGGGGGGGTCCTCATGGTGTGCGCATGGCTCCGGGTTGGCTGCCGGCAGGGTGGGGGAGGCCGTGTTTATTTAATCGCTTCGCTCATGCCGCCGGCCCTGGAGCCCTCTTTAGGGCCTCTTGGGGGCCTCTTGGGGACCTCTTGGGAGTCTCTTGGGGCTCCTTGGCGGCGTTTTGGAGGCCCCCAGGGCCTCTTGGGGGGCTCTTGGGGGTAGTCGATTGCGGCTCCCCCCTCGGAGGCCACGATCCTCGTGAGGGGTGTCGAAAAATACCCTCCCCTGGAGTGGTCTGGTGGCTTCTCCCGGGCTTCTCTCGGGACCTTGCCGGGGTACTTTTCGTCCGGGGGCCCCCAGGGGCCGCTCCGCGCGCGCGAACTAGAAATATTGTTAACAAGTTACCGGAGATCTTAGCACGCCTCTGGCCCGTTGGGCCGGCGAATTAATAGGGAACAATGATCAAGCTTCCCACCCGCCCGCAAGCCGTCTTGCTCACTCCCACCCGCCCCCCCAACACATACGTAACACCCAGGAGTCAGCATATCGCGCAAGAACGCCGCAGACGCCACGGGTTCCAGATGCACCAGACACTTGGAGGCCCAAGCGTGCCAGGCTGGCCACGTGCGGCACGTGCTCCACGTGCGCCCAGTGTTTTACGTGCTGCAGCCGCGCCAGGCGCGCCAGCCACTGGGAACCAGTAGGGGCTCGTGGGCTCGGCTTTGAGCTTGCTTGGCCAATTTTGGAGCCATGTGGAGGTTTCGAAATCCCATCGGAAACGGTAAGGCGAAAAGGTAGCAGCCACAGATGTGTCAAGCCAGTCGGTCGACCACCTGCGCCCAGAAGGCAGGTAGGATCTGCTGGCACCCCAGCCGTCCTTGTAAAATGCCCTTACAAAATGGTCGCGGAGCGGCCGCGCGCATGCTCCAAATGTGGGGGCAGAGTGCGTTTTGTATTGTTTTTGGAGAGGGATGGTGGGGGGGGGGCCTCATGGGGTTGGCATGGTTCCGGGTTGGCCGCCGGCCGGGTGGGGGAGGGGGTGTATAGATTAATAGGGAGCAGGGATCAAGCTACCCCAAGCCGCAAGCCGTGTCGCTCACCCCCACCCGCCGACCTTCTACATAGGTAGCACCCGTGTCTCATCACAGGCAGGGGCCACCATCGACAACCATCAGGAACCGATGCAGACGCCAACCAGCTGCGCCATGCCCGCGAGGTGCGCCGCACGTGCCAGGTGCGCCACGCGCACTAGGTGCACCACACTGGGCAATAGGTCGACCGCCACACCATCCCTGTCAAAAACCAATGCAAAGAGTCGGCGGGTTTGCGAGCATTGTGTATTGTGTGTGTGTGGGTGGGGGTGGGTGGGTGTGTGTGTGTGTGTTCCCGCAATCATTTTATATATGTTTTTGACAGGGATAGTAGGCCTGCGCACTGCAAGCAGAATGCCCCCCCTCCATCGTGCCTGGCAAAATGAACTTCGAGCATTTTCGGATGGATCGGACGGTGGGCCTTCACACAGTAGGCAAGATGTTGGCCCTCGTAATCCCTGTGTCCAAGACAGTGCAAAGTGATCGCGGGGCGTCCGCGCATGATCCGAACTTTGGAGCAAAATGCACTTTGTATTGTTTTTTTGCCAGGGATGATTCAGGGGTGCTGGCACTGCACACAGCAGGCAGTATGCCAGCCCCCTCGTCGTCCCGCCCCCAAAACGCATGCAAAGTGATCGCGGGGCGTCTGCGCATCATTCAGATCTTGGTGCAACGTGTACTTTGTACTGTTGTTTGCTCGGGCTGTTGGGAGGCCTTGCATTGCACACATCACGCGAAATGCCGGCACCCCCACCGCCCCCGTCAAAAACGAATGCAAATTGATGGCGGGGCGTCCGCGCATGTTCCAGATGTCGGTGCAAAGTGCATTTGGCTTTGTTTCTTGACAGGGATGGTAGGGGGGCGTCGGAATGGTCCCGGGTCTGTCGCCAGTCGGGTGGGGCAGGGGGTTTGCACTAGTAACGAACAGTGATCAAGACACCACTCCCAGACGCAAACTGTTTGGCTCACTCCCACCCGCTGGCCCAAAGCAAACGTATTACCCGAGTCTCAGCATATTCAGCGGTCGTCTTTGAACGGGCAGCTAGTGAGAACCAATGCAGACCCCAAGTGCGCGACTCCAGAGCGAGGTGCGCCACGCGTGCCAGGCGCGCCACGGGCACTAGGCGCGCCAGGCGCCCAAGGGGCCCAAGCGCGCCAGGCACGCCTGGTGCGCCAGATACGCCACGTGCTCCCCGTGCGCCAAGTGTGCCGCATGCTCCAGCCGCGCCAGTGGGGCCACGTTCGCGGCATACGCAGAGTGTGCCAGGTGCGCCCGCACACATCGAGAAACATGTCGCCCCCCACCATCCTCATCGAAAGCCAATTCACAATCGAGGCGGAGTGGTGGGCCTGCGCGCAGCTGGCAATATGCTCGCCCTCCCGCCGTCCCTATCAACAACCATGCGAAGTGGTCGAAGGGTGCCCGCGCATGGTCCAGATCTCGCCGCAAAGTGCACTGCGTGTTGCTTTATTACTGGGATGGTAGCCCTGCGCGCAGCAGGCCATGTGCGGGCACCCCGCAACACAACGGTAGAGAGTGCCCGCGCGCCCCCCCCCGAACGTGACTCATGATTTTGCCGCGAAATGCACTGCGCACTGCTGTCTGACGGAGATGGCGGGGGGGGGGGCTCGTTGGCCCGGGCCTGTCGCTGGTCGGGCGGGGGAGGGGGGATCTAAGTTACTAGTGGGCAGCGGCAAACCCTTCCCGAGCATGTCACATGGAGGGGGCCTCGAAGAGGGAGGCACTTGCCTGGCTGTGCCACCTCCGCCCGGAGAGCTGACTGGACCCCACCCGAGAGGACGAGGAGTGGAGAACGTTCCCACCCCTGCCTGCAGCTCTCTCGAGCGCGCCGGCGCCGCGCTTCACGCCAGTCCCCGTGCAGGGGGGGGGCCCGAACCCCCCTGGCGCCGCGAAGCCGGAGTCGCTGCGGGTGGCCTGTCGTCCAGCCCAGCCTCCGGGGTCGACAGGGTTTTGAGGCGCCTCCGTTGGCCGTTTTCGTTTCGATGTTCGTCTTGCAGCAAAGGCGCATGGAAGACATAACGAGGGAAAACGAAGGCAGCACGACAACGAAAATCACTGTTTAGGTCGACCCCTGCCCAGCCTCTGGGGGCGGGGGGGGGAGGGCGTACTACTTCGGGCCCCTCGGGGCCTTCGGGAAGCAGCCTGCGGCGAGCACGGGGTCGCGGGGGCGGGGTGGTCGAGAGCCAGGGGCAGCGCCGACAGGGAGGATAAGGAGGAGGAGGAGGAGGAGGTGGAGGAGGAGGAGGAGGAGGAGGAGGAGGAGGAGGAGGAGGAGGATTTGGAGTTGGTGGAGGAGGAGGAGGAGGAATTCTAGACGCTTCGCGTATCCCCACCAGCCCGTCCAGAAACGACGCCCAGGCGAGTAGAGGGTCGTCCTGAGGGGCTTTTCGGCGTCTTGGGTGCCTCGGGGGGGCCTCTGTGGGCCGTTCGGGATCCTCTTTGGGGCCTCCTGGGGGCCTCTTGGGGCCTCTTGGGGCCATCTTGGGGCCTTTGGGGGCCTCCTGGGCGCTTCTTGGGGCCATCTTTGCCCCTTGGGTGCCTCTGGGGGGTCTCTTGGGGCCTCTTGGGGGTCTCTTGGGGGCCTCCTGGGGGCCTCTTGGGGGGCCTCTTGGGGCCATCTTGGGGCCATCCTGCGGCCTCTTGGGGCATCCTGGGGGCCTCTTGCGGCCATCGTGGAGGAAATCGATCAAAGAAGAGGGGAGCTCTAATTAGCGCTGCCCCCTCAGAAGGCCAAAATGGGGCCAAAACCATAGTAAAATCAATGATTTTGGCTTCCTCGCCGAGGCCGTTTTGGACGCTCTGACCGCTCCCCGCCCCTCCTGTCCAGGTCAGTGGGGAGGGGGTAGGGGGAGGGGTAAACCCCTCCCCGAAGGGGAAGAGGGAGGGGTGGAAGAGGAAACGCCCTAAACCACCGACGCCCAGAGGGCTGGTGGGATTATCGCATGACGCAGGGCGAAGACGAGTAGGACGACAACGGCGAGAACGAGGAGAACGAGCAGCAGGAGGATACTGGGGAGGAAGACGAATTGGAAGGAAAAGGAAGAGGAAGAGAAAGGGGGCGGGAGGGTGGATAAGGAACAGAAGAAGAGAATGATGGGAAAGATTGTAAAGATGTGGAAAAAGGAGAAAGAGGGGGAGGGGGATGACAGAGGAGGAATAATAGGTAGGCGAGGGGGAAGGGGATCCTGGAGAGCTCATGTGGCCACTTGGAATCGTCCTGGGACGGTCTTGGAGCGTCTTGGAACATCTTCGGAACCATCTTGAGGCAGGTTGCGATATCTTGAGCCAGCCTGTTGGAATCGTTTTGGAGCAGTCTTGGAACGTCTTGAAACATCGTCGGAGCCATCTTGAGGCAGGTCGCGCAATCGTCAGCCATCTTGGAAGGTGTCTTGGGCTTCCCGAGGCTCTCAGGGAGCCGTCTTGGCCCATCTTTGACGACCTTGTGAGCCTCTTGGGGGCCTCTTGGGCGTCGTTTGGGGCGCTCTTGAAGCGCTCTTGGAGGCCTCAGAGGCGCTGGTAGAGCCATGTTGGAGGGGATCTGGCAAAGAAAGCGGAAGCATTTTTTAGCGTCGCCCTTGTAGAGCCTTTAAAATCGCCTCCTGAACCCCTCTTGGGGTGTTCTTGGAGCGTTCGTTGCCGCCCTCGGCGCCGTCTTGGGGCTTTCTTGGGCCCCTTTTGGAGCTATCTTGAGCCATCTTAGAGCCATCTTGACGCCTCGGATGTGCATCGCAAGCGAAAAAGTGAGAACACCAAAAACATTGATTTTCCTTAGGGTTTTGAAGCATTTTGGCCTCTTTGAGGCATCCTAGTGATGCTCTTGTGAGTACTTGGAACCGTTTTGGGAAGCTCTTGGAGCGTCTTGGAACATCATGGGGGCCATCTTGAGGCATCTTGCGCTATCTTGAGCCATCTTGGAGGTCATCTTGAGCTCCCTGAGGCCTTCTTGGAGCCGTGTTGGGCCATCTTGGACGCTCTAACTACCCGCGGCCCCCCCTGTCCAGGTCAGTGGGGAGGGGGTAGGGGGAGGGGTAAACCCCTCCCCGAAGGGGAAGAGGGAGGGGTGGAAGAGGAAACGCTCTAAACCACCGACGCCCAGAGGGCTGGTGGGATAAGAGGAGGAGGAGGAGGACGAGGAGGAGGAGGAGGAGGAGGAAGAGGAGGAGGAGGAGGAGGAGAAGGATAAGAGGGAGGAGCGAGAGGAGGAGCGGGAGGGGCAAGAGGAGGAGGAGGAGGAGGAGGAGCAGGAGGAGGAGGGGAGGAGGTGGAGGAGGGAGGAGGGAGAGGAGGAGGGAGGAGGAGGAGGGAGGAGGGGGGAGGGGGCTGGCTCGGGGGGGGGGGGAGAGGAGCGGCGGCCCCCCCGTCGCCCCCCGCTGGGCGGAGCCCCGGGGTGCCCCGGGCTTGCCCGGGAGCGCGGCCCCCCCCCCTCTGGGGTCTGTTGCCGATCCGTCGTCGTTTCCTGGTCGTGGTCCCCCCCCCTCTCCCCATGAGCCATTCCCCCCCCCCCTGGCGGCTCCCCTCATGTGTTCGATGCTGGGGCAGTGTGAAGGTAGACCGTTTCATCTTCCTCCAGCTGCGCACGTGCAGCTGATTCCTCTGAAGGGCCACAGTGAGTCCAGTGGTCGAGGCTTGGATTCCCAACCACAGCTGGTTTCGGGGTGTTGCCAGGTGTGGGTGCTGCTGCGACTCCCCTGGAGTGAGCGGGAGGGGGGGAAGGGAGGAAGGAGGGGCGAGGCCTCGGAGGAGGGGAGGGAGACGTGCTGACTAGATTTATCAATCGAGTTCGCGCAGAAATTGGTGCTCGCATGCGTCATGATCTGCGGGCGAGCTTGCATACCCAGTGCATCCCGTACACATGGCCCATGCACAAGGGCATCAAACGCCAGAAGAAAAAGGGCGGGTCCAGGAAGGAGGAGGAGGAGGAGGAGGAGGAGAAGGAGGAGGAGGAGGAGGAGGAGGCGGCTGAAAGGAGGATAATAAGGAGAAAGGGGGAACGGGGGGGACGGAGTCGAGGAGACGAGGCCTCGAGGAGTGAGGGAGGGAGGATGAGGGACGAGGCCTTTAGGAGGGATCTGGTATCCGAGGCATCTGGTTCCAAGGTCAGGCCGGCGCTAAAGCACCGTGCGGGTGTGCAGAGGTCTCGCTTTGTTTCCAGACGCTTCGTATCCGTGCCGGCCTGCGTCACCATCCTCTCATTCTTCACGTTTTACTTCTTCCAGATTCCAGCTCATGCTTCTGACCACCAGGGGAGGAGTAGGATTAAGTCGGGCGTGCCCCTCTGCAGGGGGAATTTCCAAAAACGGTCACAATAGTCGGGTGACGATGCTTTGACTATCTTTGAGTATTCGGGGGGTACTTTTGGGAGCATGTTTGATTTTTCGCCTCCCCCTGTAAGGGGGACACGCCCGACTTACGAGCAGGACGAGGAGGGCGAGGAGGGGGGCCCTCCCCCGCGGAGCCCGACGGAGGTGCTGCTCGCGAAGGACGCCGCGTCGCGCCGCGGCGCCCCCGTGCCGCAGCCGCCCTCGCAGGCCTCCCGCGCGCCCCTGCCTCGAGCTCCTCCCGGCGTGGTCGCCGTCCTCCAAGTTTCGGAGGCGGACAGAACCCCCAGCAGTGACACGTCGATTGGTGAATCGTCCGTTTTCGGTTCTCGAGAGGGCGCCGTGGCCGTTATTTTCCAGACCTGCGCCCGCCAGGTTTGGGCCTCAGGTCGTTTTCACTGAACCACGTTTTACTAAAGGGGGGTCTGTCCATCCCCGAAAGTTGCTCCTTGCCCCTCTCCTCAAGCAGTGGCGAGGCGTCCCGGCTTGCCTACTAGCCCTACCGAACAATGTTCTGAGCACCTGTTTGTGGTCTCCACGAGATGTGCTTAGAGCATTGCTGGCGGAGTCTGTCTTGTTTTAACACGTCGGGTTCAAGTTCTAAGAGCCTTGTATTTGTTCTTAGAACAGGTTGGGGTTCTATGAACATTTCGTGGTAGGATTATAGGAATGCCAGGACGGTCGGTCCCTGCTCAATCCAAGTTACTCTTGCCCCTCTCCCTCCGCGAGAGCCGGTCTCCTAGAAGGCCCCCAGAGGTCCAAGTTAGAGTCCCAGGATGATTCCCGCCTGGCTGACATCAGACAGAACATCTCAGGAGCTAGTTCGTTTCCCGTGTATGTCTAAGAAGGTACTCGATTGCTGGTCGAAGACGGCTCCACGAGAAGTCTCAAGAGGGCCTTCTACCGCCTCGGCGCTTCCTTACGCCGATCATCCTCGCCCCTCCATCCTCTCGCATCTATCCCGCTGCGAGCTAGATCTAAGGGTGCGTGCTTCTAGTCCACTTTCATGACGACGCTCCATACCATGACCACACCGATCATCAGCACAGATGCGAAAGACGGGACCAGTTGGATCCAGATGGCGGGGAAGCATCAGATGGCGGTTCAGTGCTGTGGGACCTTGTGCTCGTTCGGCCGGTCACCTCGCGGGCCCGAAGGTCCCCTCGAGGCCTCCAGTGGCCTGAGCCAGGCCAAAAACATCCCAACACACAGTTCAGACGCTGAAGGACCGCGTTCGGCTCAGCAGGGCCTCCGGTGTTCAGGCTCCGCGGCGGCAGACGCGCTCGGGTTCCGAGCACGGGCGCCGCCGACGCTTGGGACCGCTCCGTGGTGCCTCGGCTGGCAGAGGAGGGAGGAGGAGGAGGAGGAGGAGGAGGTGAGGAGGAGGAGGAGGAGGAGGAGGAGGAGGGGGACCAGTGCAAACCCAAGATCCATTAACGATGTTGCAAGAAACCCTCCCTCCCAGCTCCCTCTTCATAACTCCCTACGAGGATCTATCTTCGCTGAGGGAAGTGCCCCGATGGAAGATCACCGCCTGAAAACCTGAACCGTGCCAAACCATCACTCCTGGGACTTCAACACCGCGAATCGACGTTTTTGTTGCGTCCTGACGATCCTGAATCTTGCCAGAAAACCATTCCTGGGATTTCAACACAGCGATTCAACGTGATTGTTGCGTTCTGACAGTCCTTCACTGTTCCAAAACACCTCTTTGGGGACGTCAGCCATAATAATAGTTCAAACTGCTGTGAACTCTTAAGGCGAACGTGCGCGGCTTAAACGCGATAGTCACGTTTTGGAAAGGAGCCGACCTCTATCCGTTAAGCTCTTGCAAACGTTTAGGACGAATGCGCGCGGCGTTACGGGGAGAATCGCAGTTTGAAAATCGACCGCCCTCCATCCGTGACCTTCTTGTAAACTTCTACAACAAGAAAAAGTGCGCGGTGCTACGGCGAAATCCGCATTTTGAAACGGCCCGCCTGTCGTCCGTGAAGCTCTCTGCACATGTTGAACACGAAGGTACGCGACGCTAAGGCGAGAGCCACATTGTGGAAACGGCCCGCCTTCCATCCGTGAAACGGTGGAGCATTCCCAGCCTGAGGGTCCTACAGGGTGAGGAAGTCTCAGGCGAAACGCCTGTAGTATGGGGGAGGAGGAGGAGGAGGAGGAGGAGGAGGAGGAGGAGGAGGAGGAGGAGGAGGAGGAGGAGGATGGGAGGAGGAGGAGTTATTCTATGCCGAAAATGCATGGAGGAGGAGGGCCCCCACCAAGAAGCACGCCCCCAGACGGGCACGGCCCCTGGTCGCGGCGCCCTCTGGCTCCTTTGGCCGAAGCGGTGGATTCCGGCCCTGAGACGGGTCTGGTACCGGGGCCGCGGCTTCAGTGGATGAGGAGGGGGAGAGGGAGGGAGAGGCTGGCTTTTTGCTGCCGCGCTGCTCTCTCTCTCTCTCTCTTTCTCCCCACGCCGATGCGGTTCACGACGTCGTGGAGCGCGCTGAAGGAGGGGATGCCGAACGTCACGGCGGGGGGAAGTACACCAGGTACGTGAGCACAAAAGCACCGATGAGGCTCTCGAGCAAGGTTTCGGTGGTGAAGTCACTGCTGCTGATGGTCAGGATCCTGATCCCGAGGAGCGCCGATTCTCGCGATGGGACGAGCAGCAGCAAAAGCGCGGCGAGCACGGTCGCGAGAGGGGCGGAAGGGCCGGATCGCCGTGTTGGGCAGGCTGGGCAGCCTGGCCAGACCGCGTGTGCAGGAGCTCTCGCCAGACCTCTCGCGCTCGTTGTACGCCCAGTCGGCGGCCGTGGTCCCGACGAGGTCAACCAGCAAGGCGTCCTCGACGTCGGGCTGCGAGTCGCGGCGTCGGACAGTGCGTCGGGCATTACCACAGGTTTCGCGTCGGGCAAGCAGGGCTTGGTGACGGGCTGCGGAAGCGGCTCAGCATGAAACCGTGAGTAGGCGACGGTGTTGGACAGTGAGATTTTCACGTCGTCGGGCTCCTGGGAAACCTCGGGACGGCCAACGGGCCTCACGATCCGTCGGCGCGAGGCTCTCAGGCCAACGCTTGCTCCACGAGCAGCTCCTGGAGCAGCAGGTCGGTGCCCGTGGGCGCCGAACGCCCAGGAGTGAAACCAGCCACAGACTCCCTCCGCACGAGAGTGGGATAACCACCAACCAACCTCACCCGAGACTCTACCAGCGCCGCCGAGATCGCGAGGAGCAACAGCTGCGGCCTCGTGAAGCACTCCTTCATGCCAGGAGGGCCCGCCGCAGCCCACGCGACGGCCTGGTCGTTGGCGCGAGCGAGGCCACACGCCAGGTCGGCAGCCGCCGGCGCGGAGGCGGCGCGCCACTCCGCGCCCCTGCGGCGTCGAGCACGACCTGGCACTCGGAGACCTGCTGCACGAAGCTGCGGTCTGCAGTGCGGGTCGCGCCACCCGCCTGGGGCCGCGGCGTCGTCTCCGACGAGGCCTCTGAGCACGGAGGAGGAGGAGGAGGAGGAGGACGAGGACGAGGAGGACGAGGAGGAGGAAATGGAGGGGGAGGTGGAGGAGGAGGAGGAGGAGGAGGAGGAGGAGGAGGAGGAGGAGGAAGAGGAGGAGGACGACGACGACGACGAGGGGAGGGGAGGGGAGGAGGAGGAGGAGGAGGAGGAGGAGGAGGAGGAGGGGAAATGGAGGGGGAGGTGGAGGAGGAGGAGGAGGAGGAGGAGGAGGAGGAGGAGGTGGAGGTGGAGGAGGAGAGGAGGAGGAGGAGGGGGAGGAGGAGGCGGAGGCGGAGGAGGAGGAGGAGAGAGGAGGAGGAGGAGGAGGAGGAGGAGGAGGAGGAGGAGGAGGAGGAGGAGGAGGAGGAGGAGGAGGAGGAGGAGGAGGAGAAGAAGAAGAAGAATAATAAGAAGAAGAATACGAAGAATAAGAAGAAGAATAATAATAAGAATAATAATAATAAGAAGAAGAAGACGAAGAAGAAGAATAAGAATAATAAGAATAATAAGAAGAATAATAAGAATAATAAGAAGAATAAGAAGAATAATAAGAAGAAGAAGAAGAAGGAGGAGGAGGAGGAGGAGGCGCCCATGCGCCTGACGCGTGCAGGTTGGCCTCGCAGCCGATGGCCCGAGGACGATCGGCCCCCGTGCACGCAGGGCGGCCGGGCCGCCACGCCAGCGGGCACCCCCCCGCAGCCGCGCTGGCACAGAGCGGCGGCCCCAAGCACCATGGCACACGCTTAAGCGGTAGGGCTGTCGCTCGCTGGTGAGCGGCTTGAGCCAAACAAATGGCCACAGGAGGGGGAGGAGATGAGGAAGAGGGGGAGGAGTCGGGAGGAGGAGGAGGAGGAGGAGGAGGAGGAGGAGAAGAAGGAGGAGGCCAGAAGGATGAAGAGGATGACAACACATAAGGAGTAGGAGGAGGAGGAGGAGGAGGAGGAGGAGGAGGAGGAGGAGGAGGAGGAGGAGGAGAAGGGAGGGGGGGAGGAGGAAGAATCTGATGACAGGGCAGAGGGAGGAGGGGCAGGAGGATTAGGGGATGGTGCCTGACCTTGAGAGCCGACGCTGCGAACAAAATACAACATCGCGAAAATTGGATCCCATCGTCCTGCGCCATTTTTCGGCCAGATCGATCGGCCCGGCGAAGACGCCCAGTGTGCAATGATGCAGCGCCCAGACCTCAGGAGAGGAGGAATCAGGAGGGACAAAAAACACACAGACACAACTCATCGTCGACTCCCAGGAGAATGTGGAAAAAGACACCCCGAAAATATGTTAAAATATGGGGCATCCTGTTATTTGTGTCTATTTATTATTTGTGTGTCCCAGGGCCCCTTCAAGGAAAGCAGAGGAAGGAGGAAGGAAAAGGAGAGCGAAGAGGTTTCTCCGAGGTGCCCAGCGGTCGCGGCAGGAAGCCCTCCAGCACCGGGCGCGCGGGGGGGGCGGTGCTGGGCGGGCTTGTTCATCGTCCGAGTCCGCGCGCTGGTGCTGATCCTCCTCCTTTCCCTTCCTTTTCCTCCTCCTCTTCCTCCTTGTCCTATCGGGGGTGGACAGACCTCCTACCCTGACACGTCGATTAGCGAGTTGGCCGTTTCGGTTCGCGAGAGGACGTCGCGGCCGTCATTTTTGCGGGTTCAAGCTTGTCGATTTTGGTCCCAGGCCGTTTTCACGAAGAGGAGGTTTACTGAAGGGAGTTTTGTCCACCGGCGATCCTAGTCGGCGTTG